ATACACTGCAAACAAATACGGAACTGGAGGCAGGGATATGCATGATGAAGTATGTAGCAAGGTGCCCCGGTGTCTGCAATTTAATTTGGGAAACGCACTGAGATAGATGTAAGACCAATTAATGGGCGGGTGACAGTTATGTAACAACGCAAGTACAGGAGCAGTTTGCTAATGGCAGAATCTTGGTGCTGAGTGCACAGATGATCACTGTATATCCAGTTCTTTCAACTTCGCTCGCCGCACGTTTGAAAATTCAAAATAAAACACTGTAATAAAAACCAAGATGACTGCTGCTAAAAGTTGTCCGCTGTCATTCAACAACTATCTCCACTAGACCTACCATGGGCTCTGTCTCCTATTGTCCCTGAGGTTTTGGCTTAGATGTTACTTCTAGGAAGCCTCCAGGGCACTCCCAGGGCCTGAAGGTGGGTGGAAAGGCTCTCCCGAACAGGGTACCTTTTCAGCCTTACGGCCGACTTCCCTGTATTGTGCGGTCTCTCCTCCAGACAGGAGCTACGGAGTACTGTGCCTGCTACCCTCACGGCCCTCAATAAGCCTTTATGAATGACATCACCCAGACCGGGTCCTCTCTGTCATCCATCGGGGCACCTGGCAAAGGGCCAGGTCCACCGCAGATGCTCAGTGTCCGCGGACCTTCTGGTGTGATCTGTGGCCAGTCCTGCCTCAAGCTTCTTTTCCGCCCCAGGCAGGCGCCGCCACATGCCCACGCCCCCCCGGGATCGGCACCTCGCCTACTGCCGATCCCCTTGCTGGCCCACTCTCGGTCCCTCGCCTCTTCTCCAGCCAGCCCCTCTCCGGAAGACCCCTCCCTCGCCCAGCTTCCCTCCCCTTCCCCCACCCGGCAGCTCCCGGCAGCGATCGGCAGCTCCCTGCTGCGATCCCTTTACCCTCGCAGCCCTCCCCCGCGCGGCCCCCCACCCTGTCCTTCCCGCACCGATTTTGCTGGGCCGGGCGTCTCCGCCTGTGGCGGCGGCGGCCAGGAGCGCGGCCAGCGCGGCGAGGAGCCGGGCGGCGCGGGCCATGGCGGGCGGCGATCCGGGCAGCACGCCGGGCCGCGGTAGCTCGCGGGTTGGCGCTGGGCTCGCCGCCCCGCCCCGGCGCCCCACTGGCTGTTCCGCCTTCTGCCTGCCGGTCACAGCCTCCCATTGGACGAGCGGCCGTCTTTCTCCAGCAAGGGGCTCTCATTAGCTGCATCTCTCTCCGGCAGGCTCTGTCATTAGCAGCTTCCCCGTCCCGCCTCCTCGATGCGGCTTCCTCATTGGCTGGCTGGCCCTGCCCACGCGCAGGTGTGCGCGCTTCGGCCGCTCAGCATCAGGACCCGGGCCCTGGTGCGTGGAGACTGACGGGAGGGAGAACCGAAGCTTTGACCATCTCGGTTCAAGTCCAGCCGCTGCGAGTTACTAGCTCTGTAACGTGCCTTCTCTGTGTCTCATTCAGTTTCCCTGCTCTCCCTCTAAGTGGTTGTGTCAATCACGTGAGATAAGGGACGTGATACCGTTTGGCAGTGTCTGCAAGTGCAGCAAATTGCTGACCAGGCGTGCAGCCACGGTAGCCAGGCGCTACACTCTGCCTGTGCGCAAGCAGGGCCAGATGCTTTTGAGAGTGCCGTCACTGACGAGTATTTGCAGTTTCTACATACAGTTTGCATCTCTGCCTTCTACTTAAAACAAAGGGGCGGGGGTCGCCTCGGTAGCTCAGTCGGTTGAGCTGGTTGAGCTCAGGTCATGACATCAGGGCTCCTGAGTTCAAGACCCCTGTTGGGTCAGAGCCTGGAGTCTGCTGTGGATTCTGTGACTCCCTCCCCTGCTAACGCTGTCTCTCTTAAAAAAACAAACATTAAAACAAAAAAAAAATTTTTTAAAGGGAAGGGTTTCATCCAGTCTTTTCTCAGGGGAAGGAAAGGTAGTGAAGAAGGTTAAGTTCCCATTTTCACTCCCTAAGAAAACAAGAGCAGCTCAGCGTGGCTAGTACATTACACGGTGAAGGGCAGATTCCTCTAGCAGAAAATAAGGCTGGGAATGAGTTTCAGGATAAATAAGGAAAACCCGTATTTATCCAGTCAGATTGTGGCTAAAAGAAGAAACTGAGAAGATTCAGAGTATAGTAAAAGAGCATACAGCTCGGATTCTAAGTTAGCTTTGCGAGTCCAAACAAGGCCAAACTGGATTACTAGTAGAGTGGTAGATGAACAAGCATGCATTTCTTAAAAACTATCTTTTTGGCAATGCTATGTCAGAATGCAAAACTTTTTTTTAAAGCTTATTTGTTTTTGAGAGAGAGAGAGAGAGTGAGGGAGGGTCAGAGAGAGAGGGAGACAGAGAATCCCAAGCAGGAATGCGAGCTTGAATTCACCGAACCGTAAGATCATGACCTGAGCTAAAACCAAGAGTCAGATGCTTAACCTACTGAGCCACCCAGGTGCCCCCCCCCAATGGAAAACTTTTTAAGTTCATTCCCAGTGACTTATGATACTCCCTTAAATTTTTTGTTATACAGCATTCATCAATCACTTTGTGACAAAGTTCTCATGTGCTGACTTCATCTGATTCTTGTAGTTTTGGGTAGGTGTGCGAAGTGAGTGAGACGATTCATTTTCAGAAATACCAGTTAAAAGCTGTACTGTCTAGTTAACCATAGGTTTACAACCTATTGTAAATATATACAATCCACCCACCCACCCCCAGCAATGGATTTCCAAACCCTTAGACCCTTCACTTCCTGGTTCTTTTTCCCTTCTCCTTTTCATGGGCTTGTTTTCATGGGCTTTGCAATGAGCATGTGCCAAAGAATTGACGTCTCTCATCACCTCAAGGAGTGTAGGATTGTCCCAATCAGGCCACTTTTTGGCCCTAGGCGGGCATAGGTCACTTCCGGGTAAGGCTGTAACGTCTGCAGCACTCAGCCAATGAGGAATCAGGAGAGGGACTTGCATGTTCGGGCGATAAATTGCCTGCTGTAACCTCCCCTGGTTTGCCTCTTCATCAGACACCTACTCTAGCAAGAATGTTCATTAAAGCCTTGCTTCACTGTGCTCTGCGTCCCCCCTTTGATTGGGGCAGTGGGCTTATTTCTCAGAGTGGGGTAAATTTTATTAATTTTAAAATTCAACTTCTTTTCCCCCCCAAAATGTTCTCACATATTTATTACTGAACCGAAGCATAGGAACAAAGAAAACTCATTTTCCAAAAACAATCATGTCTGTCGTTCAGGTAGTAGTGACGTTTACAGTGATTGGATATGAGCAAATGACCTTCATGCAGAATAACTATGCCATCTCACGTGGGATTCTTTATAGACCCAGTGTGGTTCTTCTGTAATGTCTCCTTGTGGAATTGTGTATTCTATTACCAGTTTTCATCCGAAGCCATGGGATGATTCTGCTTTGTTCCTTGGCCAGGAATCACTGGATACTCAAAGTCTTGCGAGAAGACATGGTGAGAACAGTCAATCGCACACACTACCATGGTGGACAAAAGGAGAGAGGAGCTAAAATTCGACATTAAAAAAAAACCCTTTTTCTTAATGTTTTACTTGTTTTTGGGAGAGACAGTGTGAGTGGACAAGGGGTAGAGAGCCAGAGACACGGAATCCAGAGCAGGCTCCAGGCTCCAAGCTGTCAGCACAGAGCCTGTGGTGGGGCTCAAACCCACAAGCTGTGAGAACATGACCTGAGTCTAAGTGGGACATTTAACCGACCGAGTCACCCAGGCGCCCCTAAAATTCAACTTCTTGACCCTACTTTCAATTTTAGGGTCTTTGTTAACTCTAGAATCTAGCTGTGTTTTCTTGTTAGGAAGTTCTTTCCATCCTACAACAAACCCACTGATACTGTGTGAGCACACTGAAGTTGTGGGACAAGTTCAAAAGAGATGGAAAAGCAAAGAGGGAGAATTCTGGTGGCCGAGGCGCAAAACTAGTGAGGCTGGAAGTGAAGCTAGGAGATTCTTATCAATTACCTGTTACTGCGTAACAAACAGCCCCAAAATTTTGTGGCTAAGAGTAACAATCATTTACTTTGGCCATAAATCTGCACTTCAGGGAGGACTCAGATCAGCTTATCTCTTGTTCCCTGTGGTATCAGATGGGGCCGGAGGATCCACTTTCAAAATGGCTCACCAAGATGGCTGGCAAGACGGTGTGGCTATCAGCTGAGAGCTCACCTAGGGCCCTGTTCCACTCCACAAGCTGATTCCATTTACTTTTCATTTGATGGCTGAGCTCGAAGAGTGAGCATCCTAAGATGGGATGGTTTGGATCCAGAAACAGCAGTGTCACTTCTACTACATTCTATTGGTCAACCACAGTCCAGATTCAAGATTTGGAGCCATGTTTTAAAACCTCCACAGCGAACTGGGCAATGTGCACAGTCTGAGTGGAAAGAAGTAAGAATATATTTACTGGCATGGGAAGCAATGGATTAAAGAGCCAGGGTATATAGATAAGGTTTCAAGAGTAATGAAATGCAAGGCCAAACTGCAGGAAAGGCTGGCTCCAAAGAGGGCCACACAGCCAGGAGGCCGGGTACGTGGAAACTGGCTGAGAAGCAGATGTATAGACAAAGCCGGGTAGAGCTTGGCAAGAACTCGTGGAAACTGAAGGCCAGAAGGAGGCCACAAGTCAGTAATCTGGCTGAGAGGATCAGAAGCCTAGCAAGTAAGTGGCAGGAGCAGATGATAACAATTAGAACCAAGAAAGGAGTATAAGAAAATAAGGTGATGACAGAGAGGAAGGTGGAAACAGGAGCCCAGACCTAAGAAATACGGAGGAATCAGAATGAAGCGAGGCAAGGAGGTAGGAAAACAGGTTAAGACTTCAACCCCAAGGCAGGGTGTGTAATGCCTACACACACTGCATGCACACGGCTGGGCTGTCGTGGGGTCTCTAGGAACCTTAAGGGAGCGTCACCAAGGCAGGTCCATAGTCAATGCAGTGGCCATAATGTCAGCGTTTAGGATGACAAACACACGAAACACGTGACCTGTGGTTACATCAACTCAGGTTTTATTGAAGTTGCTTCTGAATATATTTCGTCCTTAGTTCTCCCTATTTTATTTGCTTTCATGTTCAAGACCCTTTCTTCACTTACCAAACTCCTTTGCCATGAAAAAGCACCAATGAACTTATCAGTATCAAACTGATTCCCTTGTGGACGTAAAGAAAATCCGTAAAAGATATGGAGACTGTATCAGCACCAAAACACCAAGACCCCCTCTTCAAGTGAGCCCAAGCCTCCTTAGACATCTGCAGGCCTACAATGTCTTTTTGCTTTACCATCGAGATGAAAATAATGAAGAGAGTGGACATAATTTTCTTGCTCCTTTGATCTGAAAGTGTGGATTTCTTGTTTTAAAACAACAACAACAGAAAAAAAAACAAAATGAAGTTGAAAGGAAAAGAAGTCACTATGATTGATTAGACTACAATTTTTTTTTTTTACAGAAAAGCATCACTTAACTAGTCTTCCCTTTTCCTTAGGCTTTAGGGCAGCTATAAAAACAGAGGCAAAACCACATGTATAATAATTAATGAAAATAAATACTTGAAAGCCCACTGTAGTAGACAATTTACACATTTCATCCAGTCCTCACAATACTATGAGAGAATTGTAATTGTTGTATAAACAAGGAAGCAGGCTCCGGAGGGTGAGAGGACTAGGGCCCAAGGGGACAGAGGTGACTGGGCTGGGATTTATGTTCAAGTCAATGCCTACAGGGCCTCTGCTCTCTTATGCGGCTCTGGCTCCCAAAAGCCCAGCTTTCTGAGATTCTTACCGTTCTAGCTGCATCTTGTAAATTTACACTTTTAAGTCGGCATCACTACTGAATAACAAAAGAATCTAAAATTATCCTCAATCTACTTGCTAACACAGGGGTTGCAAGGAATATCAGGAAACGCTTGAAGTACTCGGAACACTCCATACCTAGAATTATGGTGGTTCTAAGTCACTGATAATAACAGCTCGTAACTCACGAAAACCAGGAAATTATCATCAGGTCCTTTTCTTATCACCATGTCAATCTCAAAGGAATGAAGGCCAAAAAAAAGACCGATTCCTACTGGGAGCACTGACTGCTCATTAAAGTTACAGTGCGTACTTAGTGGAAAGCGGAAAGAGGTTCTGGTTTTATAAACCTCACCGCCAGTCTTTTGCTTGCATCTTAAAAGCATGTATTTGCTTTTTTTTTTTTTTAAGTGTCTAATTCTGGTGGAGATGGCTTTATTGATATATGTGGAGTGTGCTAGGAGTATCTATGATGTCTACGAGGATAACTTCTCCCATTCCATGGAATGGGGTCATAAAGTTCCAGAAGTGGATTTTACGGGTAACTGACTTATTAAAAGGCTGAGCGCATACAATCGGGACCTCCGACGACCTTTGTTTGCCGGGGCCACACCTGCACGTTCGTTATGGAACTGTTGAAGCCTATGTGATTAAAGTTAGTATCTAGTTGTTCCTTATTCAAGTCCTCACAGAAATTCAGTTTACTAGTTTCAGATATTTCTGAGTCCAGTTCTTAAAAGATGTTTTCATGCTTAAGAAGCTCAAAGGGTGAGATGAGATCATCATTAAGGCCTCTTCTAACATTACAAATCTATACTGGACCTCCTTCCTGAAGTCTCATTCATTCACTCATTTACTGAACAAACCTTTTACGGAGCACCAGGTATAAGAAAGACGAAAAGAAACAAAAATGAACACATGGTCTGACTCCTGCTAGATATTAATCCATGTGACATGACATACAAAAACTAGAAAAAGTTTATCAGTGTGAGAGAGGTAGTGATTTGTGAGTACCAAAAAAAAAAAAAAAAAAAAATCAGCATAACTAAATGCAATGAGAAATTGTCCTCACCACTTCCCTGCACAATAAGGGATGATAAAGCAGATCGGACAAAGGGGACGATTTGAGGGCTGGCAGAGAGAGGAGCTGTAGGTAAATTACTCATATAGACCAATTTGGGTCACTGGCTATGGGCGCCACTTCGGCTTCCCTGGAATGATTATCTACCTGGGAGGCTGAAAATTTGAAGGTAACTCAGCAAAGAAAGCATGACATTTCTTGGTCATGCTTGCTTGAAAGGGATCCAGTATCTTGAATTTCTTGATACTCCCTGCCTTCCAAGTCTTGCCTTGGCCTTAACTAGCCCTTGTAAATGGGAACTGGAAAGGGACCATGAGTGTGAATATGGCCTACCTGGTGGGGACTACAAGGACAAAAGGTGGCTAAAAGAAAAATAAAAAGGGGAAGTCCTAAAAAAAAAAAATCTATGTGTATAAACATCAACCCAAACGATCTAAGTTCATATAATTCTAAAGCTTCATCATCTAAGTACCCAGATGCTGCACCAATCCCTACCATCTCCTTTTCCCACGCAATAACACATCCTATATCATTCCTGCTACAGGGACCATTAAAAGAAGCATTTAGCTGAAAATACATAAACATATACTCATTTCCATCTTTTCAAAAGATTTTCAACCGATAGTCATCAGAGTACCAATTTTCAAATGATTTTCTTAAACATATTTGGACAAAGGCCATAGTATCACTTGTCACATTGTTCAAATGCCCAATGGCAAGACTTCTGATGAGACCAAATAGGTCACATTAAATCAGTAGAGTATCTTAGAAATAAAGCCAATATGACTAAATCCAAAACAGATCACATGAAGTACCTCATGTACACAATACAAACCTAGTTTAATAAATAAAGGAAACACAGGTGACTGCACTCTGGGAGAATGTTCAGTTCCTCGCGGCCTGTTCACAGTCTTCTCTGAGACTCCACTGCCACTTCCACCTGGGCAAGTCTAATGGTGCGGCCATGAAGCTTGTAGCCATCTTGCCTTACTAACGCCACAGTGCCGGGCTGTACCCCGACGCCAGCTGGCACGTGACAGATGAGTTCATGCTCATGTGGGTCGTATTTGTCACCGATGGGTGTCATCTTCTCTAGGCCATGTTTGGCAAACACACTCTTCAGCTTCGCTTCTAAAAGGGATAACCCTCGGAAGATCTTCTCCAGAGTGAGCGTCTGATCCCCAGCCTTTGTTTCTTCAGAAATGTACTCTGTAGTCTTCTCCAAAATGTCTGCCACCTCTACCAAGTCCTTACAGAAACTCTGAATTCCTAGATAAACCAGATACTTTTATTGTTTGTGAGAAAATCACCTTACTTTTGGGGGTGGAGTATGGGGAAGGCCCAGATAAGGGACTAGTATACTGGGCGCTCCAGGAAGCAGGAAGATTGCCACACAGGACTCAGGGATCATATCAACAATTACTGCCTTAACCCACTGACAAACCAGTTTCTCTTGGAAGACATATGACTGGGAAGCCTACGAGGAAATGGAGAAGATGGTCAGAACCTAAGAATGAGGAAGCTCAGAAATCTGTCCTTTAAAAACCTGATCATTGCTTCTTGTATTTTTGTTGCTATTCACCTTCAGTACTGAGTTATGCACATTTTGAAAATTCTCACATCTCAGTTTTGCTAAGACATGCATTCTTAAAAGGGACAAGACATTAGTATGTCGGGGGAGGGGGCAATAATATAAAAATCATTTGATAAGACCACGCTAAGGGAGATTCAAGAATGGTTATTGAGAACTGGCTAAATAGGAACAGGAAAGTAAGATACTCCATAGATGAGGTGAGTCTCCAACTGCCTGTGACGAAGTTATATATATACTTGCTGGAGATGGGCCACAAAACCTGCTTAACCTTTTCAGTCATGAAAACTGTTCTAAAACTAAAGTCAGTTGTTGAGAAATCTCATTACTCCCAATGCTGCATCTTGATTTTTTTCACAGAAATGATACGGAATGCCATCATTACAATACCTATGATAACAGCAAAGCGCTGGTAGGAGCTGGCGAAGGGTGAAGGACTGGGTTCTGGTTTGAATCCAGGAACAGGTTTAAGCCCAGGTGTCAAAACAGACGGCCAATTTAACTGTACTCAGATTTAAAAAGGAAGATCATCCACAGGGAAGCAATAAAAGAGATGACAGAGAAGAGATTTCTCTGATTTACTGCCTAGATTCTAGAAGAACTGATGAGGTTACGAATGCTATCTTTAACTTCCACGTGACAGATCCACTATAGCACCTTGAGCAAAACAAGTGTCAAAGGGTTTAAATTAGTCTAATAATAACATACAAAATGGGTTTGGGGTGCTGGGGGGCATGACAGATGGGCAGGGAAAGACGATGTAAGAAGCGGGAGAGCCACGTGAAGGCATGCTGGTGTGACCTGGTCCAGGGGAGGAGGAGGTGAGGGAGAGGAAGAGGGCAAAACCGGGAGGCACTTGCAGGGAACGAGACTTGGTGTGAGCCAAGTTCCACAAGACACCTCCCTCACCTCCATCAGGGCCGGGAGCCATAAATGTTAATGGCTATTAATGAAATCAGTTGAAAAGGTAGAAGAGATTCGCCAAAGGCTTGAAAGGCACACCGATTAGATCAGAACTCCACCCATGAGAAAAGAATGTCCGGTAAAGATCAATCAGGGGTATCAAAAGCATCTCCTAACTATTAAAAGAAGACATACACTCTATTAGAATTTTGAAAGCTGTAAGCTTCTGGGCTGACTTGTACGCTGACATGGTACAGAGAACCCTGGCTTCTGTTCAATCAAGCTGTAGAACTGGGGAAAACAGAGCCCAGGTTCTCTTGTTTATATAGTGGGGAGCTCACACTCAGATTCTATTCTAATTATGTTACTTCAATAGTTAGTTGGTATCTGCACCATTTTAGGGGGAGAAGGGGGAATCTTTGTGATCCGTTTAAGAGAAGGTGAGTTATTAATAAGTAATACAGCATAATGACTCTATCTCTGGAAAGGGCATTACACTGTATGATATACGAAAAGTTTTCTAGTTTTCCTACCTCCAGGCTCCTGAGCAATCTTCAATTTTTTTAAATATTCCTGGCCACTAGGAGGAAATGACCCAAGCAAATGACTTCTGTGGCATATTGCTAGACACATTTTGCTCTATAAATTAATAAATTAGATCACCAAACTATTTTGAGTTAAGCTAAATATTTGTTTCTAGAAACCTTATCAATTCTTGAGAAAACTGATATAAGCCAATTCCAAGCTCATCAATGCTGGACTTGTGGTAAGCCAACTTACTTGCTCCCCTCAAGCAGGCAAGGGCTCTTCCCCAGGTACCACAGTTGGTTTATTTGCTACAGAAATTCCTTGTAGCTCAAAGGTCAGCAAATTTTTCCTATTAAGGGCCATACAGTAAATATTTTACGCTTTGTGGGACAAGAGGAAAAAAATCAAGGATCTTACGCAGGTGATCATTTAACAAGACAATTTTCCCCAATTTTTAATAATGAAATTCAGAACTGTATTTATTGACTAACAGGTTGCAGGCTTGGCCTATAGGCAGTAGTTCACTACGCCCTGTCCTGATAGTTGGAAATGAGACACTAAAACGTGGATGAAATTATCAGTAATACGATTTGGGGGTCAGTCCTTAGCTGATGCTCAAAGCCTTGAAATGTGAGGTCTACAGCACTGAAAGAAAAGCAGAAGGCTGTGCCAGCGCACTGGGGTTTGATAGAAGAATGAAAGGATGGGACAAGAATGAAGCAAATCCTATGCACAAACAGCAGATGAATGAAGAGAACAGGAGGCAAAGTGATCTATGGGGATGAATAATGGACTCGGGGTCAGGAGACAATGGACTCCTGTCTTTACCTGTCACCAATAAGAGAAGACTGTACTAGAAAGAATCCAAAGGCCCCTTATGCAGTGAAAGTTCAGTGGTCTGTATGAAATTGTGAGCCTGTCAAGTAATCACAGATTTGCCCTCTACTAACACTTTCATGAACACAGCTGGAACAAGATGTTGTGTGTTTAAAGAAACACTTCTGAAAGACTTTATATATTTTTTAAATGTGCAGCCTTCAAGTGCATATATTTTTAAGATTTTATTTTTAAGTAATCTCTATACCCAGCGTGTGCTCGAATTTACAACCCCAAAATTAAAAGCCACGTGCTACACTGAGCCAGCCAAGCGCCCCTGACTTAAGAAAAAAAAAATTTTTTAATGTTTATTTATTTTTGAGAGACAGAGAGAGACAGAGCATGAGTGGGGGGTGGGGGCTGGGGGCAGAGAGAGCAGGAGACACAGAATCTGAAGCAGGATCCAGGCTCTGAGCTGTCAGCGCAGAGCCCAATGTGGGGCTCAAATAGTGAGATCATGACCTGAACTGAAGTCAGATGCTTAACCAGCTAAGCCACCCAGGCGCCCCAAGAGAGACTTTAAATTGGACCAAAAAAACCTGGTTCAGTCATCAATGAAAACAGATGTGATCTTGCATGCCGTCCAAAGTTAATCTGCTCCCATATGTCTTTTGAGTTATTTTACAACTTAGGAAGTTGTAAATATTAACGGTAATGCAAATGGTTACTGTCTGCAGTACTGAACACTGGTGGAGACAGCTGATCACTGCTCTATGGATCTAGAGTAATTTCGCTTCTATGAAGCACATTTTAATATTCCTGACCGCTCATGCAACTTGCTCTTTGGATTCTCCCCTGAACATCTTAATGATTCACTTGTTCATTAAGGAGTTAAACAGAATTGAAGGTAGAAGGCCTAGAATGTTAAGTGTACATGCTTGAAGAATCAAATAACAAACGTCTTGGTCAAAACAAAAGCAAGCATTATTTTGGCAAACAGTTCACATGGCAACACGCCCAATAAACATCTCAGAAAGCAGATGGTAGGTGTGGAAGAGCAGGGGAGGGTCTGCCTGGGGCTGCAGATGCGTTTTCTATACTATGTTCAGTTTGCAAAACTGCCAGGAAGCATCCTTAAACCGAAAGGCACTTGAATTTTTATCGTGAATAAATCTCTCACCAAATATCTTGGCATCTTCTACACATCTCTGGGTTCGCCGCCTTATGTTTTCACCATCAGCTACAGCTCTCTGGTATCTCATCTGAACACCAAAAGCAAAGTCAAAATGATCAGAAAACATGCTTGCTGGTGGAAAAGAGTGTTCCTGCTTACTTTACAACCTTCAGTGACCTTGCGGTAGGTTTTTATTTTTAAAAAATGAGGAACTATAGGAATCTCAGATTAACTACTCCAAATCCCCAGTCAAAGCAGTAACTTACTGTTTTTTTTTTTAATGTTTATTTCTTTATTTTGAGAAACAGAGAGAGAGAGAGAGCGCATGCGCGCGTGTGTGTGTGCACGCACGTGTGTACGTGTGTGTCAGCAGGGGAGGGGCAGAGAGAGAAGGAGAGAGAAATTCCAAGCAGGCTCCGTGCTGTCAGCATAGAGCCTGACTTGGGGCTCGATCCCACGAACCGTGAGATCATGACCTGAGCCAAAATAAGTCAGACACTCAAGCAAGCCACCCAGGCGCCCCAGAAACTTCCTCTTTATAGCAGCCCTGATAGACCGTCATGTAGCCTCGTGCTCCGAACACTTAACGCTTTTCAAGCTCATTATCTTGAGAGAAAGCTTCCTTTTTCACTTTTCCATGCTCAGCCAATACTGCCACCCTCTCTTTGTCATTGAACCAAACTCTAGGGCAATGGTTTAGCTCCTTTAATCTCTTCCTCTTTCATTCTTATAATCCTTGATTCCTTTCATTGCTCTCATAAGACATGCTTTCCTACCTCCTCACCCTTCTGGGTGGTCCTGCTTTGGGACTACCCTAATTATCACCCTCCAAGTGGGCATGTCGATCCAGTTCTGGCAGAGTATGCCAGATGCAGTGTGATGGGCAGAGTACAATGGTAAATGACCTCACCCATTCAGCAAGTATCTACTGAGTTCTTACTACATGCCAGACACTCTACCTCCTTTGAAGCTACCACAACATTGGTATCTAAGTACTGTGACACAACGTTTTTAAATGACTAGAGAGTGGAGGTGGGGTGAGTGGTAAAGAGTCAATCAGATGAAATCTGACTGAAAAAACAGACATGAAAACTTGATGCCGCGATTAAAGCAGAGCGAGGATGTGAAGAACAGATAAAATCTACTCACTGTTAAGTCCTGGACTTCCTTCTCCAGTTTCACAGCTTTAAGCTTTAAGGCTCGTTCTGCGAGAGAGGGCCCAAGGTCATCGGGGGGGTCCTCAGAACTGCAGTCCTCTCCAGCAGTTCTCTGGGTGGCAGTGCTGAAAGGATGCGGCCGTCCCCTGCAGGGGGAGGGGGGTGGCACATGATGAAGAAATGCCATCACAAGCAGCCAAAGTGCCCTCAAGCAGTCCCAACGCGATCGCTAGCCAGGGGGCGCCTGGGTGGCTCAGTCAGCTAAGCATCTGACTTCGGCTCAGGTCATGATCTCGTGGTTCCGGGGTTCAAGCCCTGCCTCAGGCTCTGTGCTGACAGCTCAAAGCCTGGAGCCTGCTTCAGATTCTGTGTCTCACTCTCTCTCTGCCCCTCTCCCTTCACACTCTCTCTCTCAAAAATAAACAAATATTAAAAAAAAAAAGGGCTTACTAAGTGCCAGACCTTTGTCAGGTTTTATTTTCATCTCATAAAGTGTGAGAGAAATACTATTATCATCTCAATTTTATAAATGAGAAAACTGAGGCTCAGAGAGACTTGTTTAAGATCACCCAGCGAGTATTCAGTTGAACCACCGTGCTGAACACAGGCAGTAGAGACAGCCAGAAGTGGGGACACAGATGTCAGCAGGAGAAAATCAAGTTCTGATACCCAGAACCAGCAGGGCAACAGCAGAAGCAGGAATTCAGAACACAACACCATACATTGCTGATTCAATCCTTCATTTTACAAATGGGGAAAATTAAACTCAGTAAAGGGACTGTGTCAAACTGGAATTAGGCCTAGAATTCTAAAGCTTTCTTGACCAAAAGCGTTTGCCTTTATGGAGGCAAACCCGTGTTAAGAGAAATTCTGAGGGGCGCCTGAGTGGCTCAGTCGGTTAAGTGTCTGACTTAGGTTCAGGTCATGATCTTAGGGTGAGTTGGAGCCCGGCGGCAGGCTCTGGGCTGACAGCTCAGAACCTGAGCCCCCTTCAAGTTCTGTGTCTCCCTCTCTCTCTGCCCCTCCTCCGTTCACACTCTATCTCAATAAATCAACATTAAAATATTAAAAAAAAAAAAGAAAAATTCTGAGTTGGGAACTCACTTCTCTGTAAAATCAAGTCACCTAGGTACTCATGAAACACTATACATTCCAGAGAGTGAACTGTAAACAGGTGAATAAAATGGATCTTTGTATTCAATCATGTTTGTAATCGAGAATCTGGTACAGCTCAAATGTCTGACATATAGTTGTTTACAAAGACATTTAGAGCAGGCGCTACTTTATAAATCTTGGATTGTAGCAGTTCTGACTCCTTCAAGGAAGTTTCCATTATGCCTTCTGGATTCTCATAATTTGATCTGAAGTAAAATGATCAACAAAATCAATCCATGAGTACGAATGGTCTTTAAAACAGTTCATTTATATAAACTGGCATATAAGAAAGGGCAGTCACTGGGGCGCCTGGGTGGCTTAGTCGGTTAGGTGTCCGACTTTCGCTTAGGCCATGATCTCGCGGTTCGTGGGTTCGAGCCCCGCGTCGGGCTCTGTGCTGACTGCCAGCTCAGAGCCTGGAACCTATTTCAGAGTCTGTGTCTCCCTCTCTCTCTGACCCTCCCCTGCTCACGCTCTCTCTCTCTCCCCTAGAAATAAATAAAAATTAAAAAAAAAAAAAGGGCAGTCACTGAGATGATATCCACACAAAGATTTAAAGGGGGAAAAGGAGTTTGCTTCAAGAAAGGGAGAGAGAACAGTCAGTATAAAGCTATGGACAGGATGACTTTTATGTCCCAGACTTTCCTTCCAGGCCAGGCCTGAACTTAGTTATTACAACTTGGTGTCAGATGATAAATGCTTCTCCATTTTTGGTTCAGAAAATATGATCACCATAGATCTAGGGCAAATCACACAGGGTGAAATACCTCCTTTTCGCTAAACCCCTAACAAACCTACATTTATCCAACTGAAAGTAGGTCAGAGTACTCCCAGGGCTAGCTTAAAGAGCAAATGGCAAAAACCCAAGTCTGAAAAGGAGAGTTAGTTGAGGCTGATCCATCCCTTCAATTCCTCCTGCCTCAGAAATGGAGTGAGGGGAAATTTTATCAGAAGGAAACTTTTCTTCTGGCCAGTCCCTCCATCAGGGACTGCCAAAGAGACTTAAAAAAAAAAAAAAAAAAGCCAGAAGCCTTGAATTCAACCTCGCACCCAGGTGCTAGGGGAGGGTGCTAGCTAGGTCAGGTGCCTTAGGATAAAACGGTGACAAACAGGTGAAATTCCCAGATTCCCCGCGGCTTAATTTACATTTCAGAAGTCCAAACTTACTCATACCCCAATTCACTCTTTTATTCTTCCTCCGGAAGAAACAGTTAAACACGGAGTCGTCCCTGAGAATAATTAACGCTGCTCACTAATTAAAAGAGCGGATTCTAGAGCCCTGAACCTGGGCTGGGTTTCACAATTACCGTGTATTTGAGTTTGGGTAAGTTACCCGACTTTTTAAATCTTAAATTTTCTCGATGAAACGGGAGAATAGAAAGAACTACCCAGAGAGTTCTACAACCAGCATGACAAGTGATCAATATCGGCCGCAGCCGACAGCGAAAAGCAGCGGCAAGTGGAACCTCACAGACTCCCGGGAGCAGGTGGAAGGGCCGTTTGGAGAGGCCAAATTCAACGCTCTCCTTTTACCGACAGGTAAAGTGAAGCCGGATAATGGGGAAGGGATTGGCCTAAAGTCACACAACGAGTCAAGGGGGAGAATTCCAGTTTAACAACAGACACCTTAACTAGGCAGCTGGGGAGAAGGGGCCGGGAAAGGGGTACATCCCCAATTCGGTCGACGCTAGGGGCTGAAGAGTTCCCTACCACCTCCAAGGAACTTGACCTCCGCTCTTCCCACCTTCCCTGGCCTGGCAAGAAAGCGCGACTGTGTGCCTCAGTTTCTTTCTCTGTAAAATGGGGCCGCGAGCGCCGCATCGTAGCCGCCGAGAGGCTTGGTGGATCACCTCGCGCCCTTCCAGTCCACAACCGTCCTTCCAGCTCGCTTGTCTCGCGCCATCCTCAACCCTCCACCCGCAGCCTGCTTCTCTTACCTGCCTTCGGACGCGGCACTTGAGGCCAGGAGGCGCTGCACCAGCCGCCGGACCGCCCACACTGACCGCGCGGCCATATTCCCGATCCCGGCTGACGGAGGCAGCGCAAGCGCACTTGCTCCAAACGCGGAGATGCGCGAGATACCACTCTTCCCGGCAGTCTTCGCGGGCGCTCCCCGCCCAGGGCCCGGGCGCGAACGCCACACTTCCGGCTGTCCTTGCGCGCGGTTCCCGACGGAACGCGACACTTCCGGTCCCCAGCGTGTTGGGCGCCTAGGGCGGGTTCCTGTCGCAGGATTGGGGTTCCGTGTTTGTCGCGAAATCCGCGGGGAACCCGGGGGATCGCAGCTGTACCCTCGAGGAGCTTACGTGAAGTTGTAAACGATAAACGAAGGCAAACGCTGTATAAAGTCAAAATATGACCGGTGTTTAAAAGTGAGGGGCGTGGTGCCACGGAAGCCTAGACCACCATGTGGCAGAGTGTGGGCAGTCCCCCAGAGGGAGATCATAGATGGAACTGAAAGATGAAGAATGAGTAGATGCAAAGAGGAGGAAGGTGGTTCAGGCAGAGCTAAACAGCATTTGCAGAGACCCAGTCGAGAGGGAGAGTACATTGCGAGTGAGGCGCTGAACTATTGGAGGGAAGAGAGGCGACAGGACACAATTAGCGGAACAGATCACGGGAGGGATTTAAGAAATGGAAGCCCGACTCCACCATCATTCTTACGTGCTTTCCCCCCTCCCATTCCCTTGTTTTCTGACTTTACTATTTTTAAATGTGCGTTTTCTCATTAACCTTCACTGGAACGTGAGCTCCATTAGGGCAGAGACTATTTTGTGTATTTCCAATGATGGTGGAACAGTGTCCTGGTGTAGTTCAAAAATTTGTTGAATGTGAACTTGAGTCTTCCTCTGATTTCAGTGGGAACATGTTACAAAACCTTTACAGGTTTAACGGGTGGCCTTGACTCCCGTATGACAGATTGCTGGGTCTAAGCAGAAGTAGGGAGACAAGCTGTTAGTCCGGACTAGTCCATGCGAGGGAGGGCTGTATTTTGTCCCGGGGACCCCTTAATAGACCTTTGTAACCACCCTATCTAACGTAGCGACTCTTTTGGGTGTGTTGGGCACATTTTTGTTTCCATATTAGTATTTTGTTTTCTTTCTGTTCTCCCAACTAGCGTTTGAGCTTCATGGGGGTGTCTGTGTGGTCCACAGCTGTGATTTCTGACATCTGTCTAGTACAGTAGGTGTACATGGTAGGTTCTTAACGGATATTTGTTGCATGAATTACTGGTTGGTGTCAGTGGAGCTAGGAAGAAGTGGAAGAATTTTAGAGAGATTTAGTATGGAAAACTGACAGGATAGACTGGTGATTGGGGTTGAGGGCACTTGGAGTTGCCAGACTAGGTACTGCTAAGTCCCTAAGGTCAAAAAATCCCCACACCATTATTTAAGGAATGGAAGGTGTGTCCTCATTATTCTAAATCTTCACCATAACATAGCTTATTTGTACTGTATCCTTTTGGGTCAGAATTTCTCTCTGCTTGTCTGTAAGTTCCCTAGGACAGAGCTGGAGACTTTTGCGTCTTTATACTCTATCCAAGGCCCAGCTCAACTGTGTTGTAACTAATACCTTATGTTTCCTTTTGATCTCAGAAGAAGAGTAGCATAGATTCAGAAGAGATTATAATCCCCTTTTACAGTTGAGAAAACTGAGTCTCAGAGAGGTTGGTACGCCTGCTCAGGGTCCCCCACTGAGGATCCAGGGACATTGGAAATCTGATATTCCTGACACTGCCAAGTATTGAAGGATGGAGCGTCAACTCCACGCTAGAGCCATGAGCCTATACCTTGAAAAAACCAACGAAACAAGGCGTTTTAACAGACAAGGTCTGGCCTCTGTGCTTTAGCCATTTTGTTTACACTCTCTTAGCTGATGAACTTAACATCAAATGTGCTGCATACACGCATCCATTCATTCATCTATTTATTAAGTGCTAATGCACCTAATAAATAGATGCTGCATTGCAGGGAGGGAAGGCATGGAGGAAATAGAGCCTTGGAACTCAGAGGAAAAAAAGGCTGCTGGCTCCACCACATCCTAACTGTGGGCTCCTGCAAGTTACATAACCCCTCTGGGCTTCAATTCCTGACCCGTGAACACTGGGATAACAGAAACTTTCTCACAGCATTTCAATGAAAACTAAAGGGATGATGCCTGGAAAAGTGGTTAGGTAGCACCAAGACTGGCTATGTGATTTAAAGGGCAAAAGGGACTGGTGGCTCAGTCAGCTAAGCATCCGACTTTGGCTCAGGTCATGATCTCGTGGTTCGTGAGTTCAAGCCCCCCATAAGGCTCTGTGCTGATAGCTCGGAGTCTGGATCTTGCTTCAGATTCTGCGTCTCCCTCTCTCTCTGTTCCTCTCCCGCTCGTGCTCTGTCTTCCTCTCAAAAGAAAACATTAAAAAAGTTATTAAGAGAACAAAAGCAGAGCATTAAACCAAGCTCAGGGCTCTACTAATCTTTGTGACTGTATAGGCTCTGTGAACCTGGCCTTGGCCAACACAGTACCTGATGCCTGGAGTACTCGATAAATGTTTATTATTAATTCTGTGGTGGTCCCCCCTCTCAAGGAGTCTCAAGATCTATCGGTGGGAAAAGATGGTCACCCCCAAAATAACACACTGAGGACACACTGAGGATGTAATTGGAGTATTTGCCGTCATTCCAGGATCCACATTTTAAAAAAGAACATTAGCAATCCAGATTACATGAGCTCCCTTTTCATTGAAGATACTCAAGTGGAATCTGGATGAAACCTGTGAGTTATGGATTAGTTGCCTTTTTCACTTTTTGGTGGCTGCGGTCACCATATAAACATCATTTCTTCAGTGGAAAGAATGCAGGAGTTTTAGTCAGACATCTGTTATCCAGCTAATAATGAGAGCCATTATTGACGGAGCATTTATTTCTCAGACAGTAGGCAAAATGCTTTCCATGTATCATCCCACTGAATTTCCCCGGTAGTCTTGGGAGGAAAACAGAACTGTTAGCCTGGGCTTCACTGATAAAACAAGAATCAGAGAGGCTGAGTGACTTTCCCAGAGGCACCAGCTGGTCAGCGGCAGAGGCAGGGCTCAACCCAATCCTGTTTGGATCCAGGCTCATGAGCCGTAAGCCTCTTTGCTCTGCCACTGGCCAACTGGGTGACTTTGGCCAGGTTCCTTGCCCTGTTCCGGTTCCCCGCTATCTTAAAGGGTGGTAACTTTTGGATAAGGCAAAAGTTTGTAAAGCCCTAGGTAGGGTAAAGTGTGTGAGACCTCCACCAAAGTGTCCAAAGGTTATTCTGGGGTTTCCCTTCTCTCTCCTTGAGCTAAACTTTGAACTCTTAACAGTTAACTGGTCTGATCTTTTTTTGGAAGGAAATGTAAAGACCTACAAAGGGCCTACAGTGTTGAGTAATTAGTGAGTAGCACAGTAAGGAGACCGCCCGAGACTTGAGGTCCTCGCTTCCCCATTAAAGTATCAAGTGTAAGTAAAAGGCACTCATGGCAGAAATGAGCCACTGTCCTTTGATTCTCCCTGACAGATTTACTTGACAAGCAGATACAGAAGGGCCGACCGGAGAGCCTCCAGGTGCAAAATAAGGATAAAGACATAAAGAGCGTCACTTGGATTTCTAAGCACTGCTCCTGGGGCCCGAGTGTCACATGAAATAGGTAAAGAACTTGACTGTGCACAAATGGCCCCACCCCACAATGCCTGCAGCCTCCTGTGGACATTAGAAACCAATGTTCCTGTCACTGTCCCTAAGAGTAGAAAATAAAGTCGGCCGCTGACCCTCCCCTTGCCTGCTGCATGTCCGATCTCTAATTTGAAATCCACTCCAATGCAGGGTCGTGATAGCTGCATCTGCCTGGTTGCAAGGCGCAGAAGGAATGACTGCGGAAATTGCACAGTGCCTATAGCTTCCGTTCACTTTTACGTAGGCAGGGGAATTCTACTGATTGTCTGGCCTGTTTATGTTGTCCAGTGGTTGTCAGTAATGCCCAACGTGAATCCAGCTGGCACAAGTGCGATCAGCTGATCAAGTCTTGTCTCTTTGTGCTCTACCACCGGCTTCAGCGCTGGCTTCCTTTCGCCTGAAGCCTGGGAATGGGGTGCTGAGAATAGGGTGGAATGGCTCATTCACGCATGCTCGCATTCCTTCTTCAGAAGAGAGGGCAAAGACCTTTAACAAAACCTTTACGATCATGCGGATTTCTATCCCCCTCCACCCCTGGTTTCCACCCTCTGTGAAGTCATAAGGACACTCTCCATGCCCCTCTTCCCTTTGACTTCTTCCCTCCCCATTTCCCCTAGAATCATGCAGATGATAAAGGCTGGTCTTTTGGGTGTCCTGGAGAGTGGGGGCTTCTTCGAGTCTTTTGGCGTCTCCTGGTGAAAAAAGTGTTTCCAATGCAGTCTAGTATTTCCTTAGGAATCAAGTCTTCACCCTCTTTCTAGGTCTTCTTCATTTCCCATTCCTGAAGTACAGAAAGACAAGACAAGTCCATTTGCTGAATGTTCCAGTGTGATGTGCAGGATAAAAACATTCCACCGCACCTAATTACATCAAGATCTCCACTGGACAGATTCAAGGGCCATGGGACCTAGTCTCCCTCTCTCTCTGTAGCCTTGGGGAAGTCATTTCTCCACACTGGGGCTCATCTTTAGTGGGGCTCAGATATCATAAAGTTCGCCTTTCTTAGACAAGGAAACGGAAGCCCATAAAGAGTAGAGTGGGGATGACTTTGGGCTCTAATGCTGTTCCACAGGACCTTGGTGTGGAGTAGGAGGCTGATGAGAGAGAAACCAAAGCAGTTTGGTAAGGAGGGGTGGAGGCAGGGGGCTCCTGGGGGCTCCATTCTCTCCCCTGGAGCTGTGTAGGAGTTCATCCGAGAGGAATACTAATGTCTTGGCCCATAGTGAATGGCTTTTTACCCAGAAACAACGCAGAGGGTTTTCAGCCAGCTCTGGAGGTGATGCCAGGAGCCAGGGTAAAATGGGATGGTTCGAACAATCTCGCTAGAAAGAGTCCCCAATCCCAACTACTTTCCTCCCAGTCTTTACCATCTGAACTGCAGTTGCTCAGGGCAATGATTTAGGAATCACCCTTGGTTCCTTTCTCTTCCCCATCCTCCACATCCCCACCAGCAAATCCTTCGGCGCTACCTCCAAAGCCATCCACTTCAAATCACCCCCGCTCATCTCTCATCTAGATGACTACTTCTAACCGGTCTCTCTTCTCCCCTTATCAGTTCTCAAACTTGTTCCAGAACGGTCTTTTAAAAACGTAATTCATATCCAAAAATGTTTTTGCTCAGAACTTGCCAATGACCTTCCATTATGTCGGAACAAAATTCACAGTTCTTTCAACGGCCTACAAGGGCCAAAGGGAAGCGAGCTGGCTCCCAGGCCATACCTGGCCCACTATGTGTGTGTGTGTGTGTGTGTGTGTGTGTGTGTGTGTGTAGCACCCATCAACTAAGAATGGTTTCCACATTTTTAAATGTTTGAAAAAAAATCAAAACAGTAACGGTTCTTCTTGACATGTGAAAATTTTATGAAGTTCAAACCTCAGTGTCCATAAATAAAGTTCTCCTGGGACACAGCCATGCCCATCACTTGTTTACGTGTTGTCTGTGGCTAGTTTCCTGCCATAACGGCAGCGCTGAGTCATTCTGGAAGAAACCCTGTGGTCCACGGGCTCTCATACATTTACCATCTGGCCCTTTATAGCAAAAGTTTGCCGATGTCCAGTCTAGGCGATCTGGCCTCGGGCTGGTCACTTCTCTAATGTCGTGTCCTACTGTTCAGGTGTTTGATTTTCAAGTCCACAATTTCTTATCCCCAGTTCTGAAATCCAGAAAGCCCTGAAACCAAAATTTTTCTCAAGTATTTGGGCACAAACTCAACTGGTGGCAACACCTGACATGAACTGCTGTGAGGCTGTATATAATCTATTTATTCCACGTGCCTTGTTGTAGACTTTTTAACGTGTTTGCCTCCAGGGGACTTCTTGAGAATTTGTTGGGATTTTTCATCATATGCAGTCTATATACCATATTACCTTTCTAAAATCCAAAAAGGTCTATAACACAGCTGACCCCCAGATGATCAGACTGTGGGCCAATATCATGGAGGGAGCCCTGGACTTGGAATTGGAAGAGGTGGGTTTGCAGCCCAGCTCTTGCAATGATGCCCTGCATCACCTTGGACGGGTCTCTTTACTTCCTGATCGTCCATTTCCTCACCTATGAAACAGGGCCTTTCCTGTCCCAAACCCTAGTGTAGGCTCAGCAACCAGAAAACTGAGCTTGTTAGAAATGTGTGTTAAGAACGAGTAAACAGGTACTGAATGAGATTTGAGGACCTTCTCTGCGCAGACTTCCTGGATGTATTGGTAATTCTCTGCCTTTCTAACCAGATGACTTTTTGGCTCTTGGTGAGGTTCCGCAGAAAGGCTGCCAGGTGTCTGAATTGGAATTAGCTGAGCTATTGCTATACCTTGGCTTTCTGCAGCACTCTTCCTTGGTTAGAAGTTACGATGGATGGGCTCCTCTTCCTCAGCTCAGAAATACAGTTGACAGGGACAGGTTGCTCTGGGGCATTGTTCTGGGGTTTATTTGCAGCTTCCTGTCGGTGACAAGAAAGAGTTACACAGGTGAGGTCTGGTGTGGCTACCCACACCTGGCTTGCCCTCTAAAGAACGCCAATAGAAGGCACTGCAAACATGCCAGCACCAGACAGGGGGAGGGGAGGAAGACACTTGAGGGCCTTGGAATAAAGGCAATGACGTCTAAAATTACTGAGCCCTCACCACGCACCAGGCATTGTGTGGATTAGCTCATTTAGCCTTTCCAAACCTATGAAGTAGGTACTATTAGTAGTCGTCCTATTTTACAGAGAAGGGAAATGGGAAGGTCAAGTCATTCCTCAAGGTCACATAGCTGGTGAGTGGGAGAGCCAGGATTCAAACCCCACAGCCCTCTCTCTTAACCTCTGCCCTGTATTCCTTCTCATTTTCTTTTTTTTTTTTAACGTTTTATTTGAGAGAGAGAGAGAGAGAGAGAGAGAGAGAGAGTGAGAGTGTGAGTACACATGTGAGAGCTGGGGAGGGGCAGAGAGAGGGAGAGAGAATCCCAAGCAGGTTCCGCGCTATCAGCGCAGAGCCTAACGTGGGCTCGATCTCCTGATCTGTGAGATCATGACCTGAGCTGAAATCCAGAGTCAGCTGCTCAACCCACTGAACCACCCAGGCGGTCCTCGTTCTCATTTTCTAGAGTGCCCTCACCTCTTAAATTTTCCAGATAGTTGCTTAGTACCTTAATGGATATGGTTCCTTACGAGTAACACACTGACAGCTAAGACTGCAGGGAATTTAGAGCAGACTTCTCTTCAACTCCAAAGGCCATCAAAAGGATCAAAAGTAGGGGCGCCTGGGAGTCTCAGTCGGTTAACTGTCCAACTCATGATTTTGGCTCAGGTCATGATCTCACAGTCATGAGAGATTGGGGTTGGGCCCGTGTCAAGCTCTGTGCTGGGTGTGCAGCCTGCTTAACATTCTCTCTCTCTCTCACTCAAAGAAAAAAAAAGGAAAAATTTTTTAAAGAAAGGATCAAAAGTAGTGGAAAAGCCCCCTGGAATGTGAATTTCAGGGCACGCTGGTGGGAGGAAGCTGGGATGAGTGAGCCACTTCTAGCTCTGCCATCAGCCCTCAGTGAGTTTGTCTTTGTGCTTTGAGCTCTTCATCTGTAAATGAGGTTGGAAAGCCCCCACGGAGAGGAAGCCAGGGGACTGAAGGAACAGCCTGGCTTCCGAGACAGGGGGTGTGGTCTGACCAGGCAGCATGGTTATTGGCCAAGAACAATGAGGTTACTGTTCCCAGTGACAGCTCAGACTTATCAGACAAGTTATTTCATCTCTCTGAATCTCAGTTTTCTTGTCTAAAACCAGGCATAACATCGACTCGTCAAACATTTGTGGCACTCCTTCTATTTTTCAGATGCTGTAAAGGGCTAAGGCTATAATGATAAAACAGCCATAGTCCAAATTCTTTTTAAATAAAAATACAATCCAGTGGGGGAGACAGACATTAGACAAGTAAGGACACATATACACACACATATATGTACACACACACATCCATATGCGTATGTATACACAAATTGTGGCTAAGTGCTATGAGAAAGAATAACAGATAGGACTGTTGGTACTTTAGACCAGTGGTTCCCAAATGGGGTCAATTTTGTCCTTCCGGGGGACATGTAGCAATTTCTGGAGACATTTCTGGTTGTCAACTGGGTGTGCAGCCACTGGCATCTAGTGGGTAGAGGCTAGGGATGCTCCAAACATTCTATAATGCACATGGCAATCCCCTACCAAAAGAATTCCTAGCCCCAAACGTCAGTAGTGCTGATGTTGAGACGCTCAGATGGAGACTGAGGGCAACCACGTTCTCCCTGAGGAAGTCTCATTCGGGGTGAGAGTATCGACCTTACAGCATTGCTCGGAGCCCTGCAGATAACAGATGCAAAGCCCTGAGGACGGGCCCTGTACACTGGGGACGCTGAGAGAGGACACGTGTACCATGGCTAACACAGGGCTCTGAGTCAGACTTCCTGGATTGGGGATCCTGTCTCCCACCTAACTGAGTGACCTTGAGTAAGTCATTTGACATGTCTGACCTCATTCTCCTTGTACGTCCAATGGCGCAAATACACCAAGTGCTACGACACAGCACTGCTGTGAAGACTATGAGGTAATGCAGATTCAAATGCTGTACTGACCTGTGCTATTGTTCAACACAAGTTTGTTCTTATTCGACGTATCATAGCTGGAATTATCAATAACCCAAAGGCTACTTATAAGATCACACTCAGCAAAAAGTCAAATGGTGGATAGGCCAGAACTTGCTCCAAGAGCCCCCTCCCCAGCTGGGCCAACCCCCCCCCCCCCTTTTGGGAGCTGATCTTCTGGCACCTTCCCTCTTTGAGCTTCCATTTTTTCATCTATAAATAAACCTAACTCCTACCTGCAAAGAACCATCCTGAAGATCTATAGCATGTAAGGGGGGTAAGGAACAGCTGCCCCGACACAGAAGGGCATGCACTCACCCCACTCTTGTTCTTGCTGCTTACAGAGAGCCCCAGGGCCGGGCCCCCCGCCAGGGACTGCTGCAAGCGCTCCTTCACAGCCACCAGCCTCAGCTCCAGGTCAATCCGCAGCTCTTCCTTCTCCCGACACTGAGCTTCCAGGGTGGCCACAGCCTCCTCCAGGACCTTTAACTTGCCTCCTGGGTCCAAAGACATCAGTGAGAAACAGCTGAGCCTGGCCTGAGGCATCATGGGGTTCGGCAGGGCCTCAGGTTCTAGTCTGCCCCTCCCAGAGGGCTTTCCCAGCCCTTCATCCTGATTAAGAGATGGACTTCCGGTCTGGGGGTTCTAGTTCCATGCGGGATTGTGTGGTTTTTACCTGCCCTGTACCCATTTCCCCACCTTCTCGATATAGAACCCTGATTTTCCACAGGAAAACCACCTTCTCCTCCCATTCCCTGTAGTTTGGATGGGGCTGACCTCACTTTTAGTTCAGTGAATTGGCACATAACCTCAATCTGGCCCATAATCATAATTCCATTTTCTGGTCACACTGATTGGTTTAGAGATCAAAGCTGGTCTAATCAGAGTGAATTTCGAGGCTTTTGTGGGGTCCACTGGGAAGAGAAGTTCTCTCTGCTGGGGGGATTGGGTGAGGGGTAGAGGTGTGCAGCCATTATGTCACCATGAGGCCACAGAATGAAATCAGCACAGAGGAAGGCAGAAGCAAGAATTAGAGAAATATGTTTCCTGGTGACATCACTTAAATATATGGACCTTGTTATACTTGATCACTCAGTTTTCCAATTACATTTTCTTTTCTTCTTTTTTAAAAAATTTTTTTAAATGTTTTATTTATTTCTGAGAGAAAGAGAGACAGCGTGAGTACGGGAGGGTCAGAGAGAGGGAGACACAGAATCCGAAGCAGGCTCCGGGCTCTGAGCTAGCTGTCAGCACAGAGTCCAACGTGGGGCTCAAACCCACAGACCGCGAGATCATGACCTGAGCTGAAGCCGGACACTTAACCGACTAAGCCACCCAGGTGCCCCTTTACTTTTCTTCTTTTTTTTTTTTCTAATGTTTTTTATTTATTTCTAAGAGAGAGAGAGAGAGAGAGACAGCGTGAGCAGGGGAGGATTAGAGAGAGAGGGAGTCACAGAATGAAACAGGCTCCAGGCTCTGAGCTGGCAGTCAGCACAGAGCCCGACGCGGGGCTCGAACCCACGAACCGCGAGATCATGACCTAAGAGAAAGTCGGACGCTTAACCGACTAAGCCACCCAGGCGCCCCTAAAAAAATTTTTTAAGTACATTTATTTATTTTGAAAGAGAGACCTTGTGAGCGGGGGAGGGGCAGAGAGAGAGAAGGAGAGAGAGAAACCCAAGCAGGCTCCTCACTGTCAGCACAGAGTCCAATGCAGGGCCGCAACTTAGGAAACCCTGAGATCGAAACCTGAGCAGAAATGGAGAGTTGTACACTTACCAACTGAGCCACCCAGGCGCCCCAACTTTTCTTCTTAAGTAAACTCTAAGCCCAACATAGGGCTTGAATTCACGATCCTGAGATCAAGAGTCCCACGCTCTCTTGACCAAACAAGCAAGGCAACCTGACATTTTTTTTTTTTTTTTTTCATTTCTAACCCAACTTGACTTTGGTTTCTCTTACCTGTCAGGCTTTACATTGACCAGGGGTTCCTACCAGGAGCCCCTGCTGCTTATTCAGTCTAAACTAGCAACCTTGTATTAGTATCTTTTTCATGCCAAGAGTTGTGGGGATTCTTACCAGGTTTAAATGTCAGCTCCTTTCTTTGCCCCGAGGCAAACAGGAGGCTGCACTGGAGAATTTTCCAGTGATGGTGAATTCTTTCCATCCATCTATTCACTAAACACTTAGTGAGTGCTTACTATGGACAAGGCACTGTTCTTACCCTTGGGATATATCAGTGAATAAAACAGGCACAGAGCCTTGCCCTTATGGAGTTCACATTTGTGTGTGTGTATGAGAGAGAAGAAACAATACATCAAACTAATAAATATAATAAACAATCTAATATTACAAAGTGATGGGTTGCAGCAAAAAAAGTTGAGCACAGTAAGGAGGACAGTGAGCCTCCTCCAAACTCTTGTTTCGACTCTTAGAAAGTTTTGTATATTGAGACCACACTGCTTTCCTGTGCTTCCTTCCACAGACTCTGGTTCCTGGCTACACAGAAGTCTTACCCTTTAAGTTCGAAGTTCTCAGTTAGGTTCATGGATTTTTAGGCAATCTACGGGTGGGCCCTGGGGGCACGTACACACTTGGCTTTGCAATTGTCCGTAACATTGTGAATTGCTGTTTTTTTTCCCCTCCCGAAAGGGTGCATGGGTTCCATCAGTGTTCCATAGGGCTATGTGACCTTGGATGTATCTTATGAAGGACAAAGACCTGTGTTCCCTCAAGCATGTGTGTAAACCTCAGGCTGAAAATATGCCAAACTTCAGCTACAGAGAGAATTCAAAAGAGATGGCAGGAAGTGGGGTGCAGAGGAGCCCAGAGCAGCCTGAGTCTGCAGCGGTCATGGCTCTGGATTTTGGAAGAGGATCCTGGGACCACGTCTCTGTCCATCAATCCCACAATAGGGGCCACAGTTGGGTGCTCAGCACATCCGCGAGTGAGTGAATTAATGTGAGGCCCAGCATCATATCTCCTACTTCCTTGAGGCCAAGTCACACTCTGTTTTCACATTTTACCATTTCTAAAACTAGATCAAATTTTGCTACCTTAACCGTACACAGTCTTGTGATGCTTTTTCATCCCCTTACCCAAATTCAGTTATTAAACTGACGGCATGTTCATGAGTCAGGAAGGATAATGATGATGATGTCGAGGAAGAGGTAAAGGAGGATAAGGAGGAGGAAGAAAGGGAAGAGAAGCCCACTCGTCTTGGATAACCACGTGGCCTCTGCCATGGGAGGTGTCAAGGCCGAGCCCCACCCCCCACCTTGGGCGCCCAGGACTCGCCCATGTAGGTACCTGGGTTGTTCCGAATGGCTTCCTTCAGCTCCCTCTTCTCCTGCCTCAGTGCCATCAGCTCCATCCGGATTGTCTCTTTCTCTTTTTCCAGCCTTTCCTTTTCTACCAGGTACCTCCGGGCATCTTCTTCAGCTCGGTTCTTCCCGTACTTGTATTGATTGGCACCTGCAGAGATGGAAGATGGGAAAAAGCCCCCATTCCTGACCTCTGGTAAGGGTACTTGGGTGACCTTGGCACCTTTCTCAGCCTCAACTTTTCCATCTGTAAAATGGGAATATTTAGATCTAAACCGTTAGGTAAACTTGGTGTGAATCCTCTAAGAAGCAAAAGGGAGGCAGGAGAGCACAGGCGCTCGGAACAGGGGCTTTGGAACAAGGCAGACTGAGGTTTGTGTTCTCTTTTGCCCTTTACTAGTTGTGTAACATCAGGGCAAAAGTGAATACTGCTGTTTGTGCGCCATGTCCCAGGCCTTAGTTTCCCCATTTGTAAATGTGAGTATTGATCAAAGTGACCTCTTAGCCTTGTGCTAAGTTTTGAATGGGATAGTTCATGAAAAATACTTAGTACAGTACCTGAGAGAAGTGCCTAGTAAATGTTAGATGATGATAAGAAAAAATTTTGTGACGTATAACGCACTTTAGTTTTAAAAAGGTGTTTTATAGTCAATTCTTAGGTATATATGTAAGACAAGGAGACAGGTACATATAACTCAGATCCACAGAAAATCAAGGAGTTGAGCTACAGTCAGGCATTTTCCAGTTTATTCCTGAAAAATGGGTTGGGGGAGCGAGGGGCCCAGGAGTCTGTTGTAGGCTCTACCTTATGGTGGACAATAACAAATAATTATGGCAAAAATTTACTACATGCTAAGCCAGTTACATGCATTTCCATTTAATCTTCATAAAAACTTACTATTATTAGCTTTATTTTGTTGTTGGGGAAACTGAGGCACCGAGAGGTTAGGTCTCACTGTGAATGATGGCAGAGCCCAGTTTGAGGTGGTATGTGTCGAACTCCAGGGTCGTGCATTACTGCTCTAGCTGGGGCGATGCCATAGTCTAACCTCTTAGGGAAACTTTTATTTAATTTTTTTTTTTGCTTCAGATAGTCACACACAGCCCTCTAAAGTTGGGTGGGGTGTGGAGTTTGGAGCAATTCCCAGGGTTTACTGACAAATTGGGGGTCTTTTCTCTCTAGCTCTTGTAGAGCTTGACTTTAATTTTGAGAGAGAGAGACAGTGTGAGCGGGGGAGGGGCAGAGAGAGAGAGGGAGACACAGAATTCGAAGCGGGCTCCAGGCTCTGAACTGTCAGCACGTGGGGCTCGAACCCACGAACCGCAAGATCATGACCTGAGCCCAAGTCGGATGCTTAACCGACTTGAGGCACCCAGGCGCCCCTCTCCCAGACTTTGGGATTTGATAGACCGGTAAATACAAATAATTGGGTAGACCAGCAAATACTGTCAGTGTTGTATCAGATAAGGACCTTCAAAACCCCAACCACCATCTGTTATTTCCAATATTTTATAAAATAAATAGTACCTCCACATCTCCAGAGTTGGAAGGACCCACATACAGAGTAAAATAGTCATTTACACTGAATAGATTGAGCCACCTCACAAGATACCCTGAGCCAGAACTACCTAATTAAGCTGCTCCAGGATTCGTGACCCCCAGGAACCATGATATGACTCATGTTTACTTTTGGAGCCATTAAATGTTGGGTACTTTATTATTCAGTAATCAGTAGCTAGTACATGATCTTGGGCAAGACCCTTCTCCTTAATGTTCTTCAGTTGTTTCATCTGAGACCCATTGTTGGACTAGGCCCTCATTGAGGGGCCCTGTGATTTCACAGTATAAAGCAGCAGGCTGGCGGGTCCCCCAACTCCAACCCTAGAAGCTCCACTTCTATATCTCTGGTCAACTGGACTTCAATATAACATTTGATTTGAAGAACCTGTGTTTGGTTATCTTTGTTGTCGTTTTTTAATGTTCTGTGACTTCTTTAATCTTGCATGCCTATTTCAGTTTTTATCTTATTTTTATTGATTTAAAATAATTTGTTTTTAAGTTTTATATATTTAAGTAACCTCTACACCCAACATGGGGCTCAAACTCATGACTCCAAGGTCAAGAGTCACATACTCTTCTGACTGAGCCAGCCAAGGTGCTCCTACTTTTCCATTTTAAAATGGGCATTCCAGGGGTGCCTGGTGGCTCAGTTGGTTAAGTGTCTGATTTCAGCTCAGGTCACGACCTCACGGTTTGAGAGTTCGAGCTCCCACGTCGGGCTCTGTGCTGACAGTTCAGAGCCTGGAGACTGCTTTGGATTCTGTGTCTCTCCCTCTCTCTCTGTCCCTCCCCTCGCGCTCTGTCTCTGTCTTTCTCTCAAAAATAAACATGAAAAAAATTGGAAGTGGGCATTCCATAAAGGCCTGTATTTCCAGTGTCAACGATAGCAGAGCATCAGGAATGTTACACAACAGCCGTCTGATTGTTCAGTGGGGAAACTCAGCCCCAGAGACGGGAAGGGACTTTTCCAAAGTTACGCAGTAATTTAACGATCAAGTGGGGGATGCAGTGGGGAAACTCAGCCCCAGAGACGGGAAGGGACTTTTCCAAAGTTATGCAGTAATTTAACGATCAAGTGGGGAATGGAGTACAGCTCCCCTGACCTCCAGAAGAGATCATCTGTATTAATGAAATGTAGAGATCTAATAAAGAAAAGTATTAAAAAGACTAATTTTCAAAAAGCAAGGGATAGAACTTGACCATGTTCAGGTACGGGGGGAAGAACTATAAAGCAATAAATAAAAGGCTCTCGGGACATGCTGTCCTACAGAAAGCCGGCCGGCTCACAAATCACACAGGAGCCGAGCTCGGTGCTGGAAATCAAACAGAAGTTACCATGGCCCAGCATACTTGGCCTTTGCCGTGCAGTGTGGCAACCAGGCAATTCATGGAACTCCTAAGGGGTGCTGGGGTGAGCTCAGGGTGGGACACAGGAGTGAGCCGTGCCTTCCGCCGCAGCTGCCTCAAGGGTATTTGGAGGGGTTCATTTCTCCACTTGTTACCCCAGATCAGAAATGATAAATTGTTCGCCTTTGGAAGGCACAGAGCCTGACGAGGAATTTTACATGCATACACACACGAGCCACAGTGGAACATGAAAACATATTTGGGATTATTCGGTGTTAAAATGTTTTGAAAATTGGTTGCTAGTATTAAGGAATAAGTGGGTTTCGTATAGAGGCTAGATTTCCGGTCTCTTGCATAAGCTGCCCACCGGGGTTGGCCTGGCTGTATGGGAGCCCCCGGCCGGGGCTGGGTAGTACCCACCCCTGTAGCTGGAGCCAGAGCTCTCGGGCTTCCTGCAGTCCTCCTCTACCCCGTTCCCTGTGGTTTTCCTTCCGAGGCCACAAGCTAGCTGCCCTTTATCACTTGGCTTGTGCCGTCATTTCTCTCCTGGTACAGCGTTTTCTTACATCTCATTTCACTCGTTAATTTACCTGCCTGATGTCCTGAGGAATCGGATTTGAGACACCCCCCCCACCTGTGGATTGCTTCCTTCCCTTCCTCCCTCCCACATGGAACTCACTGGAGGCATGGCGCTTGACTTTGACCTGCGGATCCACTCGATGGGACTTCTCGCTGCAGGAGGAGGCATGGCGTTTCACCTGGGCTCCAGCGGGACGCTTGGGCTCCCCGTCCTGGGCAGGAGGTGGAGAAAGGAGGTGAAGTGCGGGTAGGCTCGGGGCCCTCAATGCGGGGGCAGATCGTATTCTGGTCCAAGTGTGCTGGGTGAGACCTCGGAGATCTAGGTCTTACATTTTTAGACCGGGGCGGCACTCAGCAGTTTATAGACTAATTCTACTAGCCTATATCGTTTGATCCTCATACCTTCCTGTTGGGGACAGCAGAAGGCTCCCCTCCTAAACTGTAATATCTGCTGAGAGGAAATTAGGAAGCCTCAGAGGGCTGTGGGTGACCATATTCAATTGACTGTAGATATTTCTCTTTTCTCATCATTTGGAAGTATCCTTGAGATCCTCTGAAACTGCTAAATACAGAGTTTGCAGTTAAGATACAAAGTCATGGATGATGCCAGCCAATGGTGGCAGGTACATAACCCAATAAACTGGCTATACCTTTGTGCGTGATGAACATTAAGGGCACTCAGAGTCTGGTCAGAGCGCAGAGGGCCATGGGTGGAATATGATAATAATGTAATATCATTAATGATATTGGTAACAATAGTACCCTTTACTCAGTGTAAGGCCTTCCAATGTCTAGGCACAGTGCCCATGCAGTATCTCATTTAGTTCTTGCAGTGATTCGGTCAGGTAGTTTTATGTATTCATTTAAAACATTTTTTTAATGTTTTATTTATTTCTGAGAGAAAGAGAAAGACAGCGTGAGCAGGGCAGGGTCAGAGAGAGAGGGAGACACAGAATCTGAAGCAGGCTCCAGGCTCTGAGCTGTGAGCTGTCAGTACAGAGCCCGACGCAGGGATCGAACCCACAAACCGTGAGATAATGTCCTGAGCCAAAGTCGGACACCCCCTATGTATTCATTTAAGATGAGAGAGTGAGGGCCAGAGAAGTGAAGCGCAAGGTAACCCGGATTCAGCCCTGAATCCCAAGTTCATGCCCTTGGGTACTAAGCTCTCCTACTACTAAACTGCAGTTGAAGAAGACCTCAAGCTGCATCCACTGGTTCCTATGAATCTGAAGAAAGACCATATAAGCAGAAGAAGGGTGGCTGGAGAAGTTTCTAGAAAAGGGAGTCTCCGAGGTGAGGCCCTCTGTGCCATCCAGCACTGTCGATGGCAGGGGTCCTGGTGTGCAGACACGTCTGGTTCCTTGGCAGCTGGATGCCCTCTTTCTCTCCCCCCTCGCTGTGAGGCCTGACTCGCCCACCAGTGTCTGCTCAGAATGTGGCTGTCTGGCTGTCCCGTGGGAGGCATAGACACAGGACATACTGCCAGAGGCAGTGTGGTTCATGTGAGGGCTACAGAGGCCTCACTGTAAGTGAATGAGCCAGCCTCTCCTTGATTTAGTGAGCAAGACAGGGAGGCTCTGTCCTGGGACTGAAGCCCAGACTGTGGATGCCACAGATGAAGGTCTATGGGACTGGCCGCCCGCTGGTGCCCCCGCCCCCAGCCCTGCTGAGTCAGCGCCAGCAGTCTAGAGAGCAGCACACAGGTGGAGGGCCCGGCGCGTTGCTCGGACCGGCATAGTGCTCTGTAGTATACAGAGTCCTTCCCTCTTTCAGATCTGGGGAGCTTCCGCTGCACTACCCAGCCGAGTGCAGGGTGGGATTCCTTATCCGGAGCTGCGATCTAGGATGAGAAGGGTCCTCCCTCCACTACCAGCTGCTGGGCAAATGGAAATTGTATGTGAGGCAAAGGGAACAAGGCATAGTGACAGACAGACAGAGGAAGAGCTAATCAGTGGCCTTTGCCACGTTCCCAGGCACTCCCAAGGGACCCTACCTGTATCTTTTCGTAAGGAACGTCATCATACACACGGGGCTCAGGCCACTGGTCCTGGCAGGATCTGGCATACCTAGAAAATATAAGGTGTACTGGTGATGGCAGTGATGACGACACTCTGCGGCTCAGAGTGCTTTCCCGTCCATGCTGGTTTGATTCTGGCAGCAGCTCGTGATGGGCGTCGGGTTAGTAACAGCAACCATGCCAGGCAGCACCAGGCAACTGCTGTGTTAAGGGCCTCGCAGGCAGGGACCCGCATGATTCTCATAAGAACCCGAGAGGCAAGTAATTCATCACCTCCATTCTCTAAGCGAGAAAACAGGATCCAAGCTGGTAAGCAATCACCTTGAGCTGTTGGTCCTGAGAGTTGTGGCTGGAACCTGGCCCTTCCGATGCAGGTGCCAGCCCTGAGCCTGCCTGATGCCCCAGGGTGTGAGAACCTAAGGTCCCGCGGCTTAGAGCCGAGCCCAGATTGTTACCCCAAAGGGCCTCTGCTCTTTCCTCATTCCATCCACAGCTTCCCCTGACCCTGGCCACCTCTGTTAGCCAGCTCGCTCCTGCCTGCTGGAAGAGGAAAGCACCCACTCTGACTTCCCAAGGAAGCAGAGTCGTCCTCAGCTCCCCCTCCTTTCCCTCCCCCTGCCCGTGGCGGGGCTCAGAGGCTCTGAGAGGCTGCCGTGGGCTGTGGGGTGCCGGCCCTTACAGGAAGGAGTTGCGCCCCGCACTGACGATGCTGGTCAAGGTCTCCACATCCACGTAGTCATAGTGCAGCGCCTCAGGGGTGACTTTGGAGCCCATCTCCACCAGCAACAGTCCAAGCCAGCGGCCCATGTCCTCTGAGCAGTTTGCCTGAGGAGAGGAGGCACAGGCTGATTTCACTTCAGTACCGTTAGGGCCTTAGGCTACCTGTCCATGTTAGCCAAACCTATATTTGCAGAGCACCTGCTGTGTCCCCAATATTTAGAGTAAGTAAGTAACTTATGTGTAACACACATCCAGAAATCCAAGTGGCTCCTACCTTTTCCTTATTCAAGTTTTGGCTCTAATGCTGCCTCCTCGGAGAAGTCCTCCCTGACTACCTCTCTAAGACACACCGCCCAGCCCCCTCACTATCTTCAGAGCCTTCATGACCATTTAGATGTAAAAACAGCATTTGGGTACTCCCTGATTTTTTTTTTCCAATATTTACTTTTTACTAGAGGAGGCTATTTCTCACATAACCCAATCAAAAAAGTTTTTCTTATAATTGCCAGTTATTTGTAGTACTGTATACAGGAAAATTGCCAAGAAGTTGCTGTAACTAAACCCATTAGCTGTAAACTAAGCTTTATCAATTCTCATTTAAAGAACTTTATTATAAAATCAACTTAGCACACAAAGGCTGACCTTGAATAAAGGAAGCACACTTCTTGCCAGAAAGATCTCTGTGTAATTAAAGGGAAATAAGAGGGGCGCCTGGGTGGCTCAGTCGGTTAAGCGTCCAACTTTGGCTCAGGTCATGATCTCATGGCTCGTGGGTTCGAACCCTGCTTCGGGCTCTGTGCTGACAGCTAGCTCAGAGCCTGGAGCCTGCTTCAGATTCTGTCTCCCTCTCTCTCTGATCCTCCCCTGCTCATGCTGTCTCTCTCTCTTTCTCTCTCAGATATAAATAAAAAAATTTTTAAAATTTTAAAAATTAAGGGAAATAAGAGACCTATCTCAACCTATCAAAAGTCAAAGTGAGTGACAGGCAAATTCCTTGAAATTTAAGAAATGGGTGAGGCAGTAAGTACTGGGCAAAGAAAACAAGACCAAGCAAGAGGCTGGGTTTTAGTTCTAAGATAAGACCAAGAGGCCAATGATCCCCTCAGAGCCTTGGATAAAGCACCTGGCAGCCCTGACCTCAGTTTCCTTGTTTGTACTCTGAAGGAGTAGTTCTTTAACTTTTCCTTCTGTGTTAACATTTTAAATTCTAAAAAGCCAAAGGACTGATATGTAGAAGAGAGAGAGACTCAACGCATTCTATAGGACCTCAGAGAGGAGGGGGAGTGCCAGGGGGTGAATGAGTGAATGAGTGGAATGAAATCACATTTTCCTTCAGCCGTTTGTTCAACAAATAGCAGTAGAGCCCTTAGGACGGGGCGGGGCATCAAGCTGGGTTCTGGAAAAACAAAAGTATGCAGATCAAGCGTGGCTACTGCCTGCAGAGCTTAAAGATTTCAACTCAATACGGGGGGCATCTTTCTAAAAATACAGCTGTTTGCACTTTCAACAATAGCCAAATTATGGACAGAGCCTAAATGTCCATCAACTGATGAATGGGTAAAGAAGATGTGACTATATACAATGGAATACTACTCGGCAATGAGAATGAATAAAATCCTGCCATTTGCAACAATGTGGATGGAACTGGAGGGTATTATGCTAAGTGAAATAAGTCAGAGAAAGATATGTTTTTCACTAACAAATGTGGAATTTGAGAAAGTTAACAGAAGACCACAGGGGGGAGGGGAAGGGAAGGGGAAAAATAGTTTCAAACAGGAGGGAGGCAAACCACAAGGGACTCTTAAGTACAGAGAACAAACTAAGGGCTGATGGGGTGGATTGCGGAGAGGGGAAAATGGATGATGGGCATTGAGGAGGGCACTTGTCGGGATGAGCACTGGGTGTTGTATATAAGCGATGAATCATGGGAATCTATCCCTGAAATCAAAAGCACACAGCTAACACGGATGTTAGCCAACTTCACAATAAATTATATTAAAAAATAAAAAATACATAGCTGCTTGATAGGAAGGTCGAGCTGCCTTGAAGGGCAGTGGTTTACCTGAGGTGGACGGCCACTGGTGGGAAGGTTTTAGGGGGGGATTCCAGAATCAGATCTGGGCTAAATCAGACTAGGTGCCTTTCAGGCTTGGGATTTTAAGATAGGGGTGAATAAACAAACCTTAGTTCTAGAGTTGCCAGACATAGCAAATAAAAATGCAGAACGCTCTGTGAAATTCGAATTTCAGATAAACCCCAAATACTTTCTCAGTATATCCCAAATACACATGGGATATACTTGCATTAAAACCATTGTTGTTTATATGAAATTCAAATTTGAGTGGGTGTGTCCTGTGTTTTAACTGGCAGTCCTTCTTGGTCACATGGTGGCAGTTGACTTACTTTCCCTTCGTCCTCAGTCCCTGTAGTGTCAGCAGCAAGGCCTCCCCTCCAAGACAATAGCCCACACCCAGGCCAAGGCTCCTCTCAGCTGCCACCACCAAGAACCACCTGGATTTCTCCTCTTACCTCCAAGATGGCGACCTCTTGCCGGTTGCGCAGAATCCTGAAGGCAAATGGATGTCTGGGCCCAAAGCCTGGGGCCACCTCGCAGCCATGGAGAGCAATGGCGTTCACGTGGGTCTGCAGGTCGGTATGGTCCTTGTGGAAGTACAGAGTGTTGCATTTCAGACGGCACCAGCGCTCTTTCCAGCCCTGGCTCACCAACACGTTCAGATAGCCTGCGAGGGGGAGACCGGTGGTGTGACCCCCCGACAACCGGGCCCTGGGGAAACCCAAGGTGAGGGGGGTCTCTGAGTCAGGGTCCTGGGTCTACATCCTGTGGACGAAGCACCTGGAAGACCCTCATTCTCTAGCTGGAAGAAGGGACCTTGTGGGTCCTGGATCAGTTCATGCTCTCTGGGCCTGTGACCTCCGGTACCCTCTCCTCCCTGAGTTCCCTTCTCCATCTGAAATGAGGATTGATACTCACACTCCTATACGGTACCCTACTGAGCTTGGTGAAAAGGGGCTACTGTATAGGTGAATAAAAGGCACAGCTCTCTTTCTCTCAAAATACCAGAACTATCAGTGAGACAGAAAATAATGGGAGGTGCTGACACCTGGTGGCGGCATGTGGGAACAAAAATGCCTAGCCAAGAGGAGAGGCTGACGACCCACAGTCCCTCTTAACATTTTAGATTTCAACCAATTTTTTCCCAATAGCATGCCCTGATTCACTGGTTACAGAATATTTCTTTATAGCCATGTGCTTTTATAATATTTTTTCAGGCTTAATGGAATACTACTGCATATCCAAAATACAGAATTTTCTGTTGTATTCCAGTCCATGGAACACTGCATTAATGTAAACAGATGAATACGTCTTCCCTTCCAAACCACGTCTAATTCACGTTGAATGCAGTTATTTATTTATAAATGGGTTTTTTTTGAGAGAGAGATCAGGGAGAGGGACAGAGAGAGAGGGGGACAGAGAATCCAAAGCGGGCTTTGCACTGAGGGCAGCGAGTCTGATGCAGAACTCAGGCCTGAGCTAAAGTCGGATGCTCACCCGACAGAGCCATCCACGTGCCATTCGAATGCATTTATAACAAAAGTGCTTAAATATTTTTATCCAAGAAATTTCCTTATAAGACTGGGTCAGGGCACCTGGGTGGCTCAGTCAGTTGAGCGTCTGACTTCAGCTCAGGACATGATCTCATAGTTTGTGAGTTCGAGCCCCATGTCTGGCTCTGTGCTGACAGCTCAGAGCCTGAAGCCTGCTTCCGATTCTGTGTCTCCCTCTCTTTCTCCCCTTCCCTTGCTCACACTCTGTCTCTCTCTCAAAAAAAAAAAAAAAAAAGACTGGGTTGTAACTTACACACTTGCCATATTATGTGCCAAGAGGAAATAAGATACTCTCTCCTCATCACAGTGGAAGAAACTGAGGCCTAGAGACAGGTGGTGATTGGAGCTAAGGTCACAGGGAACACAGAAATGGGGGGGTCAGTTGGCTTTTCCCTCTGCTGAGTGTCATGGAAAGGCATGGAAAGCTGATGGAGTGGGGGGGCAGGTAGGACTCTCTCCTCTAGGAGGCCTAGAGGGCTTTCTGGCTTAGCCCGGGGGTCCGCAGCAGCAGGGTCTGAATATCCTCCTCCTGGTGCCCAGGACCCACCGCAGCACGGGACCTCCTCGTCGGGGCAAGATGTCTGCAGGCCCTCAGCCAGTGGCTTCTTCTTGGAGAAGCTGATGATGCGGGTGATTTTGCGGCCGGCAGCCCTGCTCATTGAACCCTTCAGCTCCGCCAGACTGCTCTTCTTCCCTTTGCCTGTTGCCATGGAGACGGGTTAGGGGAAGGGAGGGGGCCCCAAGTCCCAGACCCACCCACCCCTGCCTTCCCAGTGGCCCTTGTAGCCAGCACATGGGGGCCTGGTGGCCGGCTGTAGGTGTGGACGGGCCAGGTCACCCTACCCACATCTCCGGAGCGGTCCGGACACGCCCCGTGCTGTGTGCCCAGGCAAGGCCCCTCCTGGCTCCGGCATCCTTGGCCTGAACCCCCAGAGGCTCCTACCATGGTCACAGGCCTCCCGGCGGCCCAGAGTGGAGCAGTTGTCACCCGTGCCCAGGCTGTCCACGTCTGAGGGCTGCTTCTCTTGAGACGGTCTCTGGGGAGGGACAGGGACAGCCCCATGTCAGAGGGCACGCTCAGAGGTCCCCCTTCGTTGGTTCAATCCTCTCAACTCTGCACGTGATAACTGCCTACCAAGTATTTGTCAGCATCTCTCGTGGGCCTGACGCTGTACCATGCATGGGGGAGACAATGCTCCCTTCAGATGGGGTCGTGTCTTCAAATCTCTCACAGTCTGTTGGGGAGCCAAGCAATTAGCTGGAATAAATCCGCTGGATTTTCCATATTTGCTGGGTGACCAGGTTTGGGAGGGTATTTAAGTGGGATACCAGTGAAATGCAACTGGTTTAGGAAGGGACCTCCGGTAGCATCTTATGGGGACAGGATGTAAGAGAAAGAGCCACATAAGCCAGCGTCGTCCCGGGCAAGGTGAGATACGGGAAGGGGAGGCGCTAATATGACAGGATGCAGACAAAGGGACCGGCTGGCGTGTTCAGAATAGTCATGGACCAGGAGATGTGGGTGGTGACAGGAGGGGGGTCATTGCGATCCTGACTCGGGTGAGAGGCTGGTACAGACATGCACCATGGCTGCAACCTCATTGCCCAACGTAGTTTTACTCCGATGCCAACTCTGGACCAATTGTTCACCTGTCCTTCTGGTTCATTTGCTCATTCAGACAAGGTCAGTTAGGTGCCCACTAGGTCCCACGGAGGTGACACGGGAATGTGGGGAAATCCCTTCCTCTCCCCAAGGCTCTGTTTTCTCACCTGAGGCACACCCTCTCTGGGGAGCCTGCCCAAGTGAAATCTCAAGGCCAACAGTATCATTTCTAACACTTCCGTGACGTGCTGACATCTCGCTCTAAAAAGCTAAACTGTGCCTGCCAGACTTGGGGCACGATTGAAATGGCACCAACCCGTTTAAGAAGAATTCCAGAGCTCTGAGGCCTCTCCACCTTTCCTGCCAAGGACTCTCCGGACCAGGCTCAGGGATGCTATGCTATAAGCACAGAACTTGGGGCGGGGGGTAGAGCGGGGAGAGATAGGAGAGGCCGTGCGCTCCCCTGGATTTTCAAAGGCTGGAAACACGGCAACTGTCAGAATTGGGATAGATCTGTTGGAGGCAGGATGGCCCTCCCCATACACTGTGGAACAAGATATGTTTCTATTCGTTCTGCAGTGGTCTACAGGTTAAGTGTTTCATCAAAGTAGAAAGCAAATCCAAAGCATACTCTGAACACTCTGGAATCGACTTAAAGGTGGTGACACTTCACATACAGGGCTCCATGGACAGACAGAGCCACCAACACCGGAGGCCCTAACCGCTGTGCTTCACTGCTACCCTGTCCCCGCGTTCACTCCAAACACACGACCCTCAACATTTGAGCCACCCTCCCGCTGAACACTCGGACCTAGGAGCATTCCTCTGCACATGCGTGTGCACTCTTCCCCTGCACACACACACACCTGGGACTGTGCCAGAGTGAGCATCTGCAGGTGCGTGTACATGTATACACGTTCACGCCGTCAACACTACTTTCCTTCAGGCCCCCCTAACGGCAAGGCCAAGTGAGGGTAGGGCTGTATTTCTGCAGTAACTGCTCTACACGAGAGCCCCCCACCTGTCCTCTCCCGGTGACTCTCTGCTGACCCCGCACTTTGCTTCCGCTGCGCCCCAGCGGCCCCTTCCCTTGGCCCACCCCTGCCCCCTTACAGTGTTGCCCTTTCTTTAACACTTAACACAGGCGCCATCTTCCCTCCCCTTGCCCCCCTGGCTCCTCCAGCTAGTGTGAGGCCCTGTCCCCTCACAGCAGCGTTCCAGGGCCACTCCAGCAGGCCAACAAGTGCCCTTCTGTGTCAGTGCAGCCACACCCACCACCTTCCCTTCTGTGCTTCCTCCTGCTCCGGGGCATTCTCTCCCTGCTTGGGATGCCTTCTCCGTCTCCCCTTCCTTGCTAGCTGTTCACTCACAAATGTGCTCTCTCAGAAATGCTTCCCTAAGATAAGAGCAGGCCTTCAGGTACCTGGTACTTTTCCCTGCCAGCACTCTCAAAGCCCGGCCACCCCCCACCAGGAAAGGAGCGAAGGGTGGATGGGTGTGTCTCCGTTAGGACTGCACTCGCTCTCTCGACTGATGCACGGTGCTCCCTGCCTACTGCGCGAGCAGAGCTCGGTCCGCCCCTCTTGGCAGATGGGATGGCAAAATCATCAAAAGCCAGGTGTCTGGGTATACATCCTTGCTCTGTTTCTTGTGGACTATGTGACTTCAGGTAAACCTCTCTGGGCCTCAGCTTCCTCCTCTGGAAACATAATCCATCAAAGAGTTGTTGTGGAAATTAAATGAGGTCATCCATGGAAAGCGCAAGGGACAACGCCGGCCACACAGTCATACTCTGTAAATACCAACCTTTATTATACCGTGCAAGACCGTGTGTGTGGGTTGGGGGCTGAGCCCCTTCATCACCCACCAGCACCTGGCAAAGCAAAAGCACCGGCACATATTTTCTGGCTGCCTGAGCAATAACTAAATGACCACCTGGCTTACGTCCCAACAGGGCACACTCTTAGGACAGTTTCCAATTTGCTTTAAGTGGCTCCGTTCAACCGTGACCTCCTCCTGTCCTGGTGGTGTTAGTTACTCCCTCCCCTGGACGTGGGCATTCATTCATTCGTGTGCTTGGCAGTTCAGTGGACGTTTACTGATATACTGATGTGCCAGCTCTACGTTCGGCGCTCAGGGCACATAGGATGCCACGGCAGGTGCCTGGCTTCACCACCAGCCTGTGAATTCCCCCAGGGCACAGCGCCTGTTGAGTCCCTGCTGCCTGGCACAGGGGAGGCCTCACGAAGACACACGTACCTTGTCTAGGTCCAGCTTGCACAGGAGGACGGGGGATCTGGGCAGGTCTGCCCCCTCGGTCCCCCCAGCAGGCTTGCTCACCTCTCGGATGACCTGTGGAGAAGATCCAGCGCCATGAGCAGGTGGGCGGGGACGTGGAGGCAACAGGGATGGGTTGACATGACCTCCCGCCACATATGTGGGACACACCAGGGTTTGAATACGGCTCTCTCCTATGCCTTCCCTTTGGACTGAAAAGTCAGGGGGCTGGGAAACCAGAGGCATGGCTTCTTGACGTGGCTCTGTTGCTAATTAGTTGTGTGGCTTCGGGATTCTCCTCTGGGCCTCGCTTTCCCTGTCTGTAACATGGGGATAATACCGGCCCCCTGCTTACATCCTTGGGTTGCCTGAGGACCAGTGCGATCGTGGCTGTGAAGGGCCATGTGAAGCAGGATGCCCCACACAAATGTGAGGGACAGGCTCCTGTGACGGTGTGGAGCCTATGCAACAGCCTGCAGGGCAGCCGGGGCGGTCTCCTCCATCTTGAAGACGTGTGACCAGAGATTCCATGGCATTCACACAACATGAGCATGCAGACCATGAAATCAGGCCAGCCCTCACTGGCCGCTCGCTGATCTGTGGGTTTACCTGGTTATCCCACTGTGTCCCCAAAGCAGCCTTAAGGGGCAGGGACACCTGTGGTCCCCATGTCATAGATTAGGATGATGAGGCTCTGAGAAGTGAGGCCATGGCTGCCTGACCTTAACCTCTGGACGAATGAGCTGCCGGTATCAGGATGTCGAGACTGTCTCCAGTCCCGGCTCAGTTTCCAGTCTCAGTCTTCAGTCTAGGGCTCCTTCTGCTGACCCACCAGCCCCTGGGGGGCAGAGGCTCCCCCAGCAAACAGGCTCTCTCCCTGAGCCAAAGATAATGAGCAACACTGAACATCCCAGGGGAGAGCTGGGTATCACCGGAAGGAAAGGAAGATGGGGAGGGAGGAAGGTGTCTGGTTGCTTTGTTTCAGCAGGAAGAGCAAAGGAAAAGGGAGAAAGTTATCAGAGTGAAAGAGGGGGCGAGGTGCAGGGGCATGGCCAGCAGTAAGGGCCTGGGGATGGGGCCCACCACCATCACACAGTGATCACTCACAGTCACTGAGTACTTCCTCCCTAGGAGGCACTATATTAAGTGATGCCTGGCTTCACCTCTGCCTCTAGAATCTTTACAAGAACCATTTTACAGAAAAGGAAACTGAGGCACAGATAGGCAAAGTCATTTGCAGAAGATCACACAGCCAGTAAGTGCCACTTAGGCCTGGGGCTTGAACTCAAGTCTGTGTGCCACCGAAGTCCTCCCCTGTCATCACTAGGCCACCCTGCCTGTGGCCTCTGGAGGAGATTCCTTGTTAGTGTCCAACCCTGGCTCCAACCGCTTAGTTGCATGATCTCTGGCAAGTCTCGTAAGATTCCTGTGTCTCAGTTTCCTCATCTGTACAATGGGAATGATAATAGTCCTGCTGCAAAGAGTAAACGAGGTCATGTATGTGAAGCTCTTAGCGCCACGCATGGCACAAAATAAGTGCTCAGGATACAGTAAGTCTACTTGGTCTGCAGTCAAATGCAAGATGCAGAAGCCGGACGGCAGGTGGATGTTGCAAGGATGCACATTCTGCCTAAGACAGGAAGGAGTTTTCCTTTTTCCTTTTTTTTAAGGATTAGCTTATCTAATGATAAACATAGCTTCCTTTAAAGATATTAAGCTCCCCATTCCAGAAGCGACACACGTGCAGGCTGGACAAGCCCACAGTAAGGGTGTTAGAAAGAGGACTCAGGTAACTAGGTGAGACTCCAGCCTGACGTCTGTCTCCTGGAGATGTCTGAGCCCAGTTCCACGAGTCAGCCCTTGCCAGGCTCAGGGCACTGATTGCCACCCCCCCACCACCCCAAGCGAGGCCTGTTCTCCCAGGGATAAGAGCCCACTGTGCTGGGAGCTGGGCCTGGGGACCAGAGGAAGGAGGGGTGGGAGGGTGGGCCACAGGGGGCGCGGGTCCCGCGTACCTTGAGCCACTCCTCGGCTTGCTCCCGACTCTGCAGCGCGAGCACCAGCACCTCGGTAGCCCCCTGGGAGAAGCGCAGCTCGTGCCTCTTATGCCGGCTGTCCTTGGGCACGTAGGTGACGCTGCAGATGTCCAGGGCCAGCCTCAGGTGTGGCTGCCGGTCCTTGGAGCTCTTGTAGCACTGGACAGGAAGAGAAGGGGTCACACTTCTGGAGCGGAGGGCGGAGGAGGGAGATGCCTCACACGAAGGCTTGGGGGAACCCGACCTACCCCATGGCGACCTCCCCTGCCTAGCCCAGCCATGGGCACCGCGTGAAGACGGGGCTGTGGCTGTGCACCCCAGAGAAGGAGAGGCCTGGAAGCAGTGGGCATCTTTGGACAATCTTCAGATCTAAGGGCTATCGCGGGCCCCAGGGGCACAAGACCTGACAGTGACATTCCAAAAAAGGAAAATGATAGGCTAATCTCAACATGGTTGTCAAAGCTCTAAAAGAAACCCACTAGCAGATAGAATCTGACACATAAAAAGCATACTGTATCAAGACTAACTTGGGTTTATTCTTGGATTGCAAAAGTGCCTTAGCCTTTAAAAACCGACACTATAATTCATCCTATACATAGGGGAAAAAAAAGAGAAAAGCTACATCTATCAATAGACACAGAACAGGCATTTGATAAAATTCTCTACCCATTTGTAGTATAAACGAGCAAATGAGAGATATACAGGGGAACATCCTTAATGGGATAATAAAGACCTTCTACAAACCACTACCAGCAAATATCAGCCTTAACAGTGAAATACTGCAACTTTCCCTCTGAGCTCTGGACTGAGACAGGGACGCCTTCTTTTCCCACCTACATTCACATTGTGCTTGATGGAGATCGTAACCAATGCAATATGTCAAGAAAAAAAAATGACATCAGGAGTCAAAGAAGGGTCATGACCGACTCTGGTCTGGGGTGAGCTTCTCATTGCTCCAGGATGAAAAAAAAATGTCATGTTTCAAATGGATATTGGTTGATTGGGCAAGGTTTGTCAACAGATTTGGGGGTAAAGAGCTATGAACTGTTTTTTGAATTCTGTCTGTATTCCTACTCTGGAATTAAAGGTACATTTTCTTTTATAAAATGACAGCAAATTAAAAAAAAAAACTAAGAAAGCACATTCCATTCTAAGTGCTGCATGAGCTCAGTTTTAGAAAAGACAGGTATGTGGAAATGAGGGAGGAAATGTGTATATTAAAATGTAACAGTGGTTAGCTCTTGATCAATGGGATTATAGGCGGCTTTTAAAAAGTCATTTTATGTTTTTCTATTGTTTTATAAATGAACACATTTACTTGCATAATGAAAACAACAAACATTGTTTTAAAGTGCATGGGGCATGCCTGGGTGGCTCAGTCAGTTAAGTGTCTGACTCTTGATTTCAGCTCAGGCCATGATTTCACAGTTCGTGGGTTCAAGCCCCATGTCCGGCTCTGCACTGGCACTGTGGAGACTGCTTGGGATTCTCTCTTTCTCTGCTCCTCCTATGCCCATGCTCACACACTCTCTCTCTCTCTCTCTCTCAAAATAAATAAATAAACATGAAAAATACTTTTTTAAAAAATTAAAGTGGTAAAAGGGTCTCCTGAATGGCTCAGTGGGTTGAGTGTCTGACTCTTGATTTCAGCTCAGGTCATGATCCCAGGGTCATGGGATCAAGCCCTTCATCAGGCTTCATGCTCAGCATGGAGCCTGCCTAAGAGTCTCTCTCTCTCTCTCTCTCTCTCTCTCTCTTCCTCTACCCCTCTCCCCTGCTTGCATACTCTCCCTCTCTCTAAAAAAAATAAAACAAAATAATTTTAAGTGATAAAAATTCATTTCTGGCAAAACAAAAACTTGGTAATGTCTTTATCGGGTCTTTGAGTGTGAGTGTGAGTGTGAGTGTGTGTGTGTGTGTGTGTGTGTGTGTGTATTTTCATTCTGCTCTCGTGGGAGAGCCTCTGTGCACAAAGCAAGCCCACAGGAACTGCGGCAGACACGCCTACACACACACACACACACACACACACGTAGGTGCACGTGAGGCCCAGCGGCACACATCCGCGGCCACTTACCAGGAGCTGGTCCTCCTTGATGACGGTCAGCTGCTTGGCCCACTGCCCGAAGCGCTTTTTCCGCAGCAGGAAGGCACATATCCTGCAGTCCCTCACCAGGTGCATGGAGGCCTCCTCCGAGGGCCACTGGTGCGTGGGCTGGGGCCCTTTCCCTTCCTCCTCCTCCTCATCGTAGGACTCGTAGGAGCTGCTCATCGCGTCAGAGTCATTGTCTGCAGGAACCACGGGAAGGGACCCGTCACTGGCCACCCGGGCTCAGGAGGGGGTGGGCGTGAGGTGTGATCGTGGTGATCACTAACCCCCAACACAAGCACTGTTCTGTATCGATTCACTACCGGCTTTCCGATCTCGGTGACTTCACTTCTCAGAGTCCAGCTTTCTTATCGGTAACATGGTCATAATGAGTGACCGTATCTACCTGAGCCGGCTCTTAGCATTGGTGAATGCAGAGCGTTCGGCCCCGTGCCTGGCACCTGGCAAGCACTCAGTAAACGGCAGTGACTGTCATTACTCCAACATCGTCACATCCATAGTCTCAGGTGACTCTCACAGCACCCAGCAAACCCCCATGTTACACAGAAGGCAGCTGGAGGCTCACAGAGAATAAATGACTCTTTCAAGGTCAGTTGCCAAGGATCAGGGCGAGGGCTAGATCTAGGGCTCTTGACTCCCATGTCAGTGCTCCTTCCACTGAACCCTGAGTATCAGAGCTTGGGGAGGCCTCTGTGGTGACCCGGGGGGCTGGTATACACATGTATGCCAAGGGTCAGGTCAAGGCCTGCTCTCTGAGGACAGAACCCTTTTGAACACCTGCCCCATACTTACAGGAGTTCTTTAACTCCCCATTCATCCTGGTCGCTGGGTAGCTGCTATCTGCATCCTCATAGTAGCCGTCCATGATGGAGTGGGCTGGGCTGCAGCCATCTGCGGGGTTCGTAGAGGGAGCGGCACCTTGGAGACAGGCAGGTGGACTGCAGGGGCTGTGGCTGGGGAAGACCCCAGACACCCTGGCTGTCCCTGGGGAAGACAGGGCACACCTCCCTGCAGCTCCCTGGCCATGGTGAGGGGCCTCCTTTCTGCCCTTGCCCCCCACGTCCTCTCTGTGCCCCTGTGACCAGGAGCTGTCCTGCTGGGCCCTGTCACACCTCCAGGCTGTGTTCATGCTCTCCTGTGTGCTGTCTTACCTTTTGATAGAGAACTCCTACTCATCCTTCAATACCCAGTTCGAAGATCTTTCTTCTGACCTTCTCAGGCAGAGAACGGTCAGCCCCTGCTCAGTGATCCCACAGCATTGGTGTGTGTGTGTGTGTATCTTGGTCAGAGCCCAGGTCCCTGTACAGCAAGGAGGGGTGCTCCAGCTGCCTGGGCTCAGCACCCCCTGGTCTTCTGCCACCTCGGTCCTTCTACTCCCTTCCTGATGCATATGTTACCTCTTGTGAAAGTGATTCTCCTAAACCTCTGTGGCTATACCACAGAGGAACTGGACCGGAGGAGATAATGGTAGCGCTTGTAATAGTGAGCACAACAGCTGCTTCTGTGGAAACTTCTCAGCACATTGCCACTGAGGGGGCAACACAGAGCAGGGGTGGGGGCTACCTTAAACTGTAGTCTGCATCAAAGCTACCGGGGGTGTCTTCAAAATGCAGATACCCGGGCTATATCCCCAGAGATTCTCATTCACTGGTGTGGGCTGAGCTGAGGAATCTGCATTGTTTTTTTAAACACCTATTTAATAGGGTGTTAAAAAAATGTAAAAATAGAAACTATATGCAAGTTCAAGAAATCAGATTTTTGTTTTCAACAATTAAGATTATTTTGATCCAGATGGTCCCTGGGGCACACTCTGAAGGTCAGTGGGTTAAGGGCATGGGCTTTGTTCAGATTGGAGATCAAATTTGTCACCACCATTTATTTGTTTAGTGACCTTGGGAAAATCCCCCCACAGTTTCTCTGCATTTCAGGGTCTTCACCCGAAAGTGATGTGAACAGTTCCCACACTGCACTAGTGATACAATGCATATAAGCTCTTAGCACCGTGCCTGGCACACAGAATGTGTTGGACAGATGCTAGATGTCATTATCATTTTCATCCCCTTTGATTCCCATAATATAGGGAAGTAAATATCAGCACCATTTTACAGATGAGGAAACTGAGGCTGCACACAGTTTGCTAGTGACAGAGCCTGGATAAGAACTGAGGTTTCCCGCTCAGGGAACAGGGGCACATCTCCTCTTCCAGGAAGCCTTCCTTCACCCAGTCCAACTGGCTCTCAAACCACACTGTTCTCCACCGTGCTGCTCTGGGCTCCCGGCCCCCACCATCCATCTGTTTCCTGAGAACAGCAGCACTCAAATTCCCAGCGACTGGGACACCCAGTGCTAGCTCCCAAGTGATGGCCCAGCCTGCCTTTCCCAGCAGGCTCTCTGAAGCCTCAGATGCTGACAACATCCTGTGAGGTGGATGGTGGGGGGAGGTGCGATGGGGAAGGGGTGGGGGACACCCGGGGCAGTGCTCTTGAACACCTGGCAGGGCTGGACACTGTGTCAGAGGAAGGATATTCCCTGATGGGCTTGGCACCCTCTCCCCGGTCAAGCTCCCTGACCCTTCCTGAGGCCCGCCCTTCCCTCCTGCCCCAGGATCCCCGCTGCCCCATCTGAGGGGAGCATGAGCCCCCTGGGGAGGTGTTGCGGCCTCATCCAGCTGAGGGGCTTGACCTGGGATTTGTCTCCGCCCTCCTCCCCTGTCCTCAAGCGTAGAAAACAGGACAAAGTCGCCTGCTTCCCATACAAACCGCCGATGCAGCCACACGGACCCCAAGACTCTCAAGGCTGAAGAGAGCTTCCACCAATCTCCTGATCCAACCCTGTCACTTCACTTTGTCTTAACTGGTTTATTAATCATAAAATAATATACCTCAGTAGCCCAGAGGTGGAGAGAACCAGATGTCTATCAACGGATGAAAGACGAAACAAAATGGGGTCCCGTAACCTTGGAAACATCAAGCTAAAGGGAAATTAGCCGGACACAAAAGGCCACACGTTGTGTGATTCTGTTTATGTGAAATATTCAGAATAGGCAAATCCACAGGCACAGAAAGCAGACTGGAGGTTGCCAGGGGCTCAGGGGGAAGGGGGACAAGACTGGCTGCTTAACGGGGAAGGAGTTTCCTCTTCAACTGATGAGAATGTTGGGGCACAAGGTGGTGCGGTCAGCTGCACAATACTGCGAATGTGCTAAGTGCCGCTGGTTGGACACCCTTCCAAGGGTTGAAATAAATGGTCCATTTTATGTCATGTGCGTCTTGTTACAGTAGAGAAAACATTGCACTAAAGAGTACGAATGGGAAAATATGTTCTCTTCACCTGTATTTCTATTCATTCCCCACAGAGCACTCTGTTGATAGTCTCTTGCACATCCTAGAAGAGTTGTTAAAACGGATGCATGAATGTGTGTACCCCATCAAGGAACAAATGGAATCGTATTATATGCACTATTCTGCAGGGTTTGAGGTTTTTTCCATGGATGTATCTTGGAATTCATTTCTGATCAGCACAGTCAGACCTGTTCTCTTTATTTTTTGGCGGTTGGAAAAATATTCTGCTGTGCTACTGAATGAGAGTAGCATCACATAAACCTGGTTTCCTATAAGTTCAACTACGAATGCTGGTCACACAAAAGCCATAATATAGTCTCTCTTCTGTCATGTTAAGTTTCTGTATCCAAGCCAGAGACTTGTCTGATCCTCAGAGAAACACCCATGTGTTTCAGTGCGAGAGGAAGCCCACTGAGAGGTGAGTCAAAAGCAAAGACTCTTTGTGGCCAATTTAAGAGATTTTCAAAGGTGATTTGTACCAGTGCCCTCTAAATTATTTTATCATGTCCACCTACCAGGAGAAATGTAATCATATAATGTACTTCCATGTTATTTATGGGCAAATTATATATATATATGTAATATAATATATAATATATATAATATATGTGTGTGTGTCTATATATATGTATGTATAGACTGCTTACAAGCATTATGCTATTATTAGATTATAAGCACTATAACTCTAAAACACTGGCATAGAAATTTTTAAAAGAAACTTTGGGCTAAATATAAGTAAAGCTTTGAATACTTCTTCCTATATCGTTTTGTGAATTCCCTGGGGTGCCCACACTCTACGCAGGAGACCTTTTGATGTCAGCCCTGTGTTTTTTTTTAATCCTACGCACTGACTTTGTAACCTAGCCCCCTGAGAAGACGTGGGCCTGCTGAAGTACGAACTGTCTCACCAGCCCACGGGGAGGAGCACTTAGCCTACAGCACCAGCTTCAGTGCTGGGAACCAGCATGTACCGGTCATCTGTGGCCCTCCGTCCAGGCACGTTAGTACCCATGCATCCAGCCCCTGTCTTATTTTCAGGGCGGGGAAGGGAGCTGTCCAAGGCCGCACAGAGCAGGGACTGGAACCAAGCCCCTGATCCCTGGGGCCATGATTGTTGACCGAGCCACCTTCCCTCTTCTTTCCCCCACCTCCTCGGTCCCAGGCCATCCTGAGAAAGACCAGGCCCTCAGGCAGCTCCTCCTCAGGATGAAGGCAGGGCTGGCTGGGTGCTGGGCTTGGAGCTCCAGCCCCAGGGGAGAGGAGCCACCCGGGGGATCGGGACTTACTGTGGGAGCTGATGTACTCAGGGGACTTGCCCGGTCCCAGGGGGAGGGCCTCTTCATAGTAGTCCTCAGGTGGGGGCCTGTTGGGAAGCGGTGGAGGCAGGTCGGCTGTCTGAAGGGGGACAAAGGAGGCGGATGAGACCTGGACGGCCCGGAGAGCAGAGGGAGCAGGCTGAGGGACGGGAGCGAGGCTGGGGGGACGGAGGCAGGAGCCCCAGGAACTGTTTCTGAACCGAAGCCATAACTGGCGACAGAGTGGCAGAGGGGCAGAGGTGGGAAGCTGTTTGCTGAGAGTTTGTGCAGTTCTCTGCTTCTCGCCCGACTTGTTTAAGCATCAGAGCATCTCTGCAACATCTAGAAGTTGTGTGGGCTGCCACATAGACGCAGTTAACGCTTTTGATTAAGTGCCTGCAGAATTATCAAAAGCTGCTGTGAGTTCTGCAGTACTCTGGAAAAATCTCTATTCCCGTGAGGAACAGCAGCACAAGTAAAAGGAAGACATGCCATTTAGTGAGGCAACAATGCCTTAGGCTCTGGGGCCAGGGAGCCCCTACTCTACTGGGAAAAAGCTCCGTCACTTACGAGTTGTGGGGCACTGACATGTCACTTACTCTAAGCCTCAGTTTCCTTACCTGTAAAATGGGACTAAGAATGGTGGCAACCTCATTCAATTATTGTGAGCGTACAAAGGACGTCATAAGGGGTCAACGATTGGTACCACTGGAGAGTGGTGATGATAGTAAATTATACAGTTGACATAATGTTTGGTGTGATTATGGGCCCCTTGCCTCAATTCCGTGCACAAAGGCTGGGAACCCTAGATGTGATCCAGACCTTTATGTTATAGGTGAAAAACAGGCTCAGAAAGGCGAGGTGATTTGTCTAAGACCACACAGCCACAGGAGGAGGGCAGGGGGGCCACCAACTCCTGGTCCAGAGCATTCCCCACACTGCATGTTAATTATCACAGCAATCAGAAGTTGGGGTGGGGAACATCCCATGTGCCTAAAGGGACAGGTCACCACATGATCCCTGCTCAGCATGGGCAGCAATGAGCACATCATGAGCCACTGAAGTGTTCTCACAAGCCTGTTTCTCCCCTTATTTATTTACTTTATTTTTTGAGAGAGAGAAGGAGAGAATCCTAAGCAGGCTCCATACTCAGTGCAGAGCTGGATGTCACGACCCTGAGATCATGACCTGAGCCAAAATCGAGAGTCGGATGCTTAACTGACTGAGCTGCCCCCTGTTTCTCCCCTTAGAACAGGGTCCTGAGCAGCCAGGAAGGTCCCAGGCATTAGACGGAAAGCTCCTCTCGCCAGTTCAGAGGGACAGAGGGCTGGAGGCAGTGGGACTCACATGTCTCAGAGACGGGCTCCTGGCTGGCTCAGGGCTGGCTCCTTTGCAGGGCTCCCCATCATCGTCTGGCATGTCCCGGAGGTCGCCCAGGTCACAGTCTACCGAGGGTCAGGCCATTAGGGCAGAGAAGGCGAAGGATGAGCACAGTAGAGTGGGAAGGAGGCTGGATCGGGGGTCAGGAGGCCTCTGCCACCCCCTTCATTAGTGACCTGGGCAAGCCACTCTGAGACTTGCTCCATCTTCTCATCTGTAAAGCGGTTCCCATAATCCCTCACCTGGTCTGTCCGCCGGGGTAATCAAGAGGGTCAAATGAGATCATATTTGGTGCGGTGCTTTGGAGACTTGTTGGGCGGGGAAGGCATAGTGTCTTCCCTCAGGCTCTCAGTCCCTGAACTTTCACCTGACCCCCTGCTTTCATGGGCTACCCCCATGCCCGCGGTGCCACTCGGCTTTCTGCTGAGGCACAGGACTGCCCACCTCAGGGTCCTGGCGGCAACTGCCAGTGGATGTGAGTGGCAGGGGAGGGAGAGCACCCTACGCGCCATACCTTCTTTGGCCTGCGCCTTCATCCCTACCTCTCCTCCAATCCCGGGCACGACTTCCCATGACCATACAGACTTCGACTAGACTCTCAGACCTAGGGGGGCCCAGAAAGGCCAAGGGACTTGCCCAACATGACTCAGCATTGCAAATTTAGAGCTGGGCCCCCACCGAGGCCAAGGGCCCTTCCAGAGGCCGAGGGCAGTGGGCTTGCACATGCAGGGACACCAGGGGGGTGGGAGGGAGCCTCTTACCAAACTCTTCGAAGAGGGACTCCACGAAGCTGGGCCCGGAGTGGAGGTCTGCTGTGTTCACATACAGGTAGGACACTTCTTTGGCTGTGGGGAGAGGGGTGAGCATGCCGGCAGTGAGGAGGGAGGAGGGCCTGTCGCTGCCGCCTCTGGGGAGGGCCCGTCTCCCCCTCTCGCCACTGGGACTCGAACCCACCAGGGCACAGCATGTACACATCCTAAATGAGTTCCTTGCTTTTCAAACTTTGTTCTCGTTTTTCTCGAACCAGAGTATCTCCTTCTCCAAGCGAAAGGGTGGCCAGAGTCCGGCACAGAAAATGGAGCTTGGGGCTGCTCCGGGGACAGCCAGGGGACAGACAGAGCTGAGCACAGCGGGCCAACAGTCACCCATTGGTGGCCCCCCCCAATGCTGCGGGACACGGTGCAGCTCGTCGGAGTTGGCTGAGTTCTGGGCTTTACAGTTATCACCTCGAGGGTGACCCGAGGTGCGGAGACAGGGCCTGCGCTGAGCATAGGTGTGCGATGTGTGTGCTGCGTGTCACAGACGGCGTGTGAATGAGTGCACGTGGGGTGGGAGACACGTGCTGTGTGTGGCAGGCTGGGTACGTGGGAGCACGCCGCGTGTTAGGTGTGACACGTCACGTATGTGAGGACATGTCTTGTGTTGTATGTGACATGTGTCATGTATGTGGAGCACACCGCGCGCTAGGGGTGACGTGCTTGTCACACACATGAAAGCATGCTGTTGGTGAGTGTGCAGGGTGCGTCCTGCGAGTGTATATTGACACGGGTGTGCTCTGCAGGGGGGAACACAGGTGCAGGGGTGTGGTGTGTACAGTGTGTGTGAGTACGTGTGGAGTGTGTGTTGTGTACGTGAGCTTTGGCAGGTTGAGGATGGAGGTGGAGGAAGGACACAACCAGGGTGGGGAAGGAGCAGAGTGGCTGCAGCCGTGGGCTGTGGGCTGTGGCCCGTGGGAGGGATGTGCACCGCCCTGCGAGCCCCAGGTTTCCTCCTCGGGCCTTGGGCCCTGGGCGCTTCCTGAAGGTCCTCAAGGTGCAGGGCGGGGGTGGGGGGGGGCCAGAGTGGTGAAGGCTGACCTGGGAGGGGTTGCAGGCTCTGCAGGATGGAGGCCACGGCCATCTTCTTCTCCAGGGCGCTGTCACTGAGGTACTCCCGGTCCAGGAGGCTGAGCAGCCCTGTGAGCTCGGGGAGCAGCTGCTCCAGGGCTGGGGAGGAAGCAGAGCCAGGGGTGGGGGGGGGTGCCCCGAGTCAGGATCCGGGCCCTGCGTAAGGATCTGGGCCCTGCGTTGGTATCCGGCCCTGCCTGTGTCCACTGGAGGGCAGAGGGCAGTGCGGACACCACACAGACCTCAGAGGCCCTCCCACAGCCATCCCAGCCGCTGGCCACTTGCCTCCCCATGGAGAGTCCTGTTCCATGAACCGTGATGGTCCTCTGGGCCTCCTCACTCGCCCTCAGGCGCACATGGTCTTGACCTGAGGACGGAGCCTCCCAGGTCCAGCCGGGCACTGCCGAGCCCTGAGCCGAAGGCTCACAGGCCTGTCTGTCCCAGCACGAGGGTGCTCTGTGCAGGCTCGAGGCTTCGTGCAGGCCCCCGGCCCGCACTCCCCTGGCCACCCAGCACACAGGCAGGAAGGGAGCCTTCCTGTCTCATCAGTTCATACACTTCAATCTCTGGAAACTTCTGTTTCCGGAGGCTTGGTGGGAGCCAAACTAAACATTAACCCTTCCCACCCCAGGCCCGAAACTGTGATCGCCAGTCCTGAGCTTTACCAGCGTTTTTCAGACTTGAGGGTGTAGAGGAATTACCCGGGATTTTGTCAAAATGCAGAGGCCGGCTCAGGTCCGGGGCAGGACCCGAGACTCCGCATGGCCAGGGAGCTCCCCGCCGCGCGCCGACGCTGACACAGCTGGTTGATAGCACAGAGAGCTGCCAAAGTCGACAGCACACAGTCCTTTAAAGACCGGAGCTTGCCGCAGCCATGAGGTCATGAGGGCTCCTTGTCCCACACAGTAGCTTGGGACTTGCTTTGCCTTAGACCCAAGACCAGCCTCATTACAGTAGTGGTACCATCCCTGTCCTGCTTTGCAACTTGCCAGTCACTTGCGAAAAATACTAAAAGCCAACCGTGCTGAGAGGCCTGGATGACCCAGTCGCCTAGGCAAGTATCCGACTCTTGATTTCAGCTCAGGTCATGATCTCTCAGATCGTGGGGTCGAGCCCCCACATGGGGCTCTCTGTGGACAGCCAGAGCCTGCTTAGGATTTTCTCTCTCTCCCCCTCTCCCTCTCTCTCTGCCCCTCCTCTGCTTGCTCACTCACTCAAATTAAATACATAAATAAATAAACATTAGAAAAATCAAAGTAAGAGCTAAGCATGTTGAATGGTTATTGTGAGTTGTGTTAAACCTTTCATATTTACAGTCTCATTTAAATCTACTATCAAGCATTTTATGGCTCAGACTCCTCCGGGGTCTCACAGCCAGTGGAGCCTCAACTGGACCTGGTTCCCTACTCGCTTTCAACTGCCTTACGGTATTTTATACAACTTGCCAACAAGTTTTGAGGTAGGTCCCATGGTCACACCTGCTTTTTACAGGAAGTGACCAAGCCTCAGAGAAGAGAAGTGACTCGCTTGCAAATACACAGAGGCCTCAGAAGAGCCAGGCCTCTGGACTCCCAGCTCCACGTGCTTCTTTCCACTCTGGGCCCCTAAGGAAACAACCGGACTCTGGCTTGCAGTTACAGGGTCTGGGTCTGGGTGGCGTGGGAGAGGGGCTATAGCATTGTGCATAAGAGAACCGGCCTTGGAACCAGACTGCCTGGGTTCAAGTTTGGGCTGCATCATTCCTCAATCATGGGACCTTTGCAAGTTACTTAGCCCATGACTCAGTTTCCTCTTCTGTACGGGGGGTGGGGGGTAAGAACAGTACCTGCCTTACATGGTTGCTGTAAAGACTGATTGTGTCCCACAGGAGAAGTGCCTTGCCCCGTACAGCGTCAATGCTCACCCCAAGTCAGCCGTGACTGCTGTCATTACAGTGTTTATTTACCATGCTGGTCTGTGCGTGAGTGTCTGCTTCCTCAGCAGGCCGTGAGGCTCCAGACAGTGTAGACTGTGGTAGGGATCTCAGCTTCCTTAGCCTCTAGTCTGGGGCCTGCTCAATGCCGGAGCTCCGCATGTGTTTGGAGAGAGAGGGCATGAACAGATGACCATGTCAGGATGTTTTTGAAAATAGAAAACTTATGTACAGAGAGTAGCAGTTGTGGAAAAAACGGGACGTGGCCATATGTCCGTGGCATTCCATCAGCACCTCGAATTTGCTGGAAACGGGCTGCAGGCTGATCCTGTCAGCTACCACCCCTGGAACTCTCTCTGCCGCTGAGCACTGAGGCAGGGCCTTTGCACGTCACAGCTCATCTGTGAGCAGGCCGTGCTGGGATGCCCTCGAGCTGAGGCCGAGGGAGGCTGTGGGATGGTCACACAGCTCGAAAGCAGCGAACCAGGCTGATTCTACGCTTGTCTGAATCTGGGAGCTGCAGAGTCGCACAACGCCAGGGGGAGCAGCTCGCCTCCATGGCCCAAGTGCAAGGGACCTGGAGCCCTTGTAATGCCACCTGAGTGAGGCTTCGGGGTGGGTAGGTTTCCCTCCTTAAAGTCATAAAATCATTTTAGGTACGTTTTAGCCGTTGTGAAGAAAATCTTTACAAATGGAATCACAGACCTCTTCGGCACCCTCGTCAGATATACTGAAAGTCAGTTAACTCAGTTCTAAAATATGTACCTAGCGCTAATTATGTGCCACTCGGGGATTCGAAAATGAATCAGATGTTGTCTCAGTGGGTATGCTCCCTCTCCGTCTCTGTCTGTCTGTCTGTCTCTCTCTCTCTCTCTCACACACACATTTATCGCACACACGTGTAATTACACACAAGGGAGACCACGCTAAAAGCGACCAGTAAGGCACTGCAGGCGACCATGGCAGCTTTCTTGTGGCCTGCAGCCATGGTTCGTACTTGGAAATTCATGACACTGCGCTGCTATCACGTGGGAATGTCAAGGTTATGCGGCATGGTGACTGTTTAGCCTCTTACTTGTAGCTCTGAAACTTGTTGGCCTGGGGTCTCCTTTGCGCAATTAAAAAGATTATCAAGGATGCCAAAGAACTTTTGTTTTATGTGGATTATGTCTATCAATATTGAACGTGTTAAAAATTAAGGCTGAGAACATTTTAAACCACGAGACTATACAGGCACACATCCTGTTAGCTTTCAGAGCTACAACATCATCACACACGACACAACCTCTGGAAAACTCCATTGTAAACACGAAAGAATGGGGGTGAGAAAAGACACACTGGGGGGCGCCTGGGGGCTCAGTCGGGGGGCGCCTGGGGGCTCAGTCGGTTGAGCATCCAATGCATGATTTCAGATCTCATAGTCATGAGGTCAAGCCCCGCATGGGGTTCTGCACTGGGTGTGAGGCCTTCTTGAGATTCTCTCTCTCCTACTCCTTCTGGCCCTCCCCTGAGCACATGCACTCTCTCTCTCTCTCTAAAATAATAATAATAATGGGGTACCTGGGTGGCTCAATCAGTTAAATATCTGATTTTGGCCCAGATCATGATCTTGTGGTTCATGAGTTTGAGCCCTGTGTCAGGCTCTGTGCTGACAGCTCAGAGCCTGGAGCCTGCTTCGAATTCTGTGTGTGTGTGTCTCTCTCTCTGCCCTCCCCTGCTAGTGCTTCCCCCCCCAAATATAAATAAACATTAAAAATATATAAATAAAAAGAAAAAAACATAGTGGGTCTGAGTAAGATATAAAACTGGTTTTGACCTTGTGGACTCTCAGAAAGGGTCTGGGGGCATTGCCCATCCCCAAACACACCTTTCTGAGACTTGCCATCCTTGAATGAATGACCTTGGATTTGCTGAGTCTGTCCCCCTGTCCATTCCTGCCTCCTGTACTTTGTGTCTGTCATTTTGCTCTGAGGTTCCAGAGACTTCTTCTTGCTGCTACCAGCCAGTGCCTATATGTGGCAGCATTCCTGTTTGTCAAACCTCTTCTGCTTCGAATCTGAGGTTTGTTGCAATTGCTTCTAAATCGAGAACAATTAGGTTCTGAGGGAGTTCTTGGCTTTGAAAACTGGGAGATACAGGACCCAAGCTTTGTTAACAACTTTTTGAATTTTTCCCCCTGATTGTTAATGGGATTCCTAACACGGGACCCTGACTTTTAACTGTTCTTGCTTAATGGAGGCATGGTCATGAGAGCCCAGGCGGAGCAAAGGAGAAGGAGGGAGCCAAGCAAAGCTGGGAGGAGCAGATGCGCAGTGAGGAAATGCCTAGTGCCGGTGGTGGCTTTTTGGAGCCAGGAAGGACCCGGCAGGCAGCAGGTGGCAGCCTAGGGAGTCACACAGCATTTTCTAAAGTGAGGTTGGCGAAGGGGGCATGAGCCATGGGGGAAAGCTCAGCCTACGGGCAGTGAACTGGCGAGAACACTCCCTAGGGCTGAGCAGTTACCGTGTGCAGAGTACCTAGGGCGCGCCCTCTCATTTAATCCTCAGAAACAGCAAACGAGGGACGTAGTGTTGCTAACTGCGCTCCACAGAGAGAGCAGGGGCTCAGAGAAGTGAGGCCACCCAACCAGGAAGTAGTAAGGCCAGGCCTTGAAATCAGGTCTGTCTGACTTCAAGGTGAGCACCATGTGCCTGAATCCTCCACCAGAAAACGTGGGCTCAGAGTAGCGGAGGCCGGGCCTGGGGAAGGAAAAAGGCAAGAAGCCCCTTGAAGCCCTCTTGCCGAGGGCTCTGGGCCACGACTTCATCAGGCCTCCTGACCAAGGATCCCCACACTGGGTGCATGGAGACCCTTACTGTGGGGCTGAAATTCTTGCTCAGTGAGTTTCTGTCCACCGGGCCTCCTTGTGAACTTTAGAGCCCTAACTGTGAAGATCACATGAAGAAAAACAAGCACCTCAAAGCATACCCATGACTCAACAGCAGGATCTCAGCCCGGAGACACCTTTACACCTGGTGGGTACACGGGAGCTTTCAGCCAGTGCTTGGCTCTTTGAAGACAGTACAGAACTCTCTCCTCCAGAGCTGGCTTTCGGGCACAGGGAATGTGGATGTGCCTTCTGCCGTGGCTTCATCTTTAATGCCAGAAAGCCGAGACTATGGGGATTTAAACCATCACAGAATTTCAT